TACCTATATTAAGCACATTCAACGAATCCAAATCCTCAACAAGGGAAGAAATATTGACAACTTATAAGTTGTGTACCTGTTAGGGAGACCGTAGACCGGAGACCTCCTCCTTGTTAACAGGAGAGTGAATAATAATTAGTAGAGTTAAATATTTTAATGTCTTATCTATTTTATCTTAATTATATTTTTTTTATTTTAGAAATATATATGAACCTACCCTATTATAAGTTATAAAGAGTAAAATACTCTAACATCTCCTTTGTTTTAATTTAATTACATATATCTCTTTTTTTATTTTTAAAATATATATGAACCCCCTAGTGTATAGATATGAAACACAAAATTTTCTCTATTTTTAAGATTTTATTTTCATCAATTCAATCGTTAATTGACCATTAAGTCACATATTTTGAATTAAAATAATTCTCTTTAAAATATAAATTTTTTCTTAAAAAAATCAGTCAAATTATCCCAAAAAAATTAATGCATGTATTTTTTTACTTTTTTAATTTCTATTTAAAAAAATTTTAATTATGAAAATATATTTATTTATTAATTTTTTTAAAAAATTAAATACGTAAATTGGCTAAAATAATATTCAAATACTTAGTTAAAAAATTTATAAAATAAAAATTCAATATAATAAATTACTCAACATAATTTATGTTTATTTTTAAAAAAAATATTAATTTGGACACAATTGTTAAATTATTTATTTAAATATTAAAATACTTAATTATTTGAAGGTTTTTAAAAAAAATTGAAGAGAAAGTAGACAGTTATATCATAAGAACAAACTAATAATTTTAAATTTTTTATCATAACTCAAAATGAAAATTTAAATATTGTAAAACCTTTAATGGAATATTCCTAATCATGTTAAAGATTGGATTAAAGTATAGGTTTTTAAAATAAATGGGAGGTTTATACAATTTTAACAAAACATAAGGAAGCTCATTATATTTTCTTCAATTATTAATAGTTATAAATAGAAGCATCGTCTCCATTTTTAAGATTTCATTTTCATCCATCCAATCATTAGTTAACCATTAAGTTATATATATTAAACTAAAATATCATTTTTTTTAAATGTAAATGTTGCCAAAAATCGTTCAAATTACAAAAAAAAAAATTCATGCATATATTTTTTAAATTTTTTATTTATATTTTAAAATTTTTGGTTATGTGTATATGTTTATTTAATGATATTTGAAAAATTTAAATATATAAATTGACCAAAATAATATTTCAAACACACATTTAAAAAATTAATGAAATAAGAATTAAATATAATAAAAGGTTAATGAACATTTTAGACTCCAAAGTATTGCGTTAAAAGTGTTTTAGATTCTAAATTCTTAAAATATATAAAATGAACTATAAATTTTTAAATTTATAGCAAATTAAACTGCACTGTTAGCTCACCAGTAATGCGGTTACTGTTTACTTAGTAGGGCCTAATTAAAATGCTAATGTGGCAATACCTTAATGCTATGTCATTTTTAATTAGCACCACATACCTTAAAATACTGCATGACTAGCATTCTGGACTCCAAAATTTAAAATTTAGAGCAAATTACTTCTATCATTTATGTATAAAACACTCATTATTATACAAATCAAATTAACTTTAGTGTGGTTCGCCATGGTAAATGCATTATTGGTTGAGGCGAACAACTCATAATTTTATAAAATAACATTTTTTGCTCTTTTTTGTAATATTTTACAAACGATTGGTATCTCATACTTTTATATACTCTATAACTCTAATTTAATCTTATTTTGAATAATTTTTATTTATTTAATGGTAAAAATTTGGGATTTCATTTAAAAAGAAGTTTACGTAGCAAAGGATTTTACAAAACAATGGATGCAAGTCAACAATTTTATCAATAGATTTCAAAACAAATTAAACTAGTTAATTAAAATCTTAAACTTTTTTTAAATGGTATCTTAAGTTTTCACCATTAAATAAATAAATATTATTTAGAATAAGACTAAATCAAAGTTGTAGAATATATAAAAGTATGAGATACCAATTATTTAAAAAATATTGCAAAAAAAGGGTAAGAAATGTCATTTCATAAAATTATGAGTCATTCACAGTAGCCAACAATGCATTTATCATGACAAATTATGCTAAGGTTAACTCGGTTTACATAACAGTCAACGTTCTACATATAAATGGCAGGAGTAATTTGCTTTGAATTTTAAAATTCAGGATTTATGATATTACTCACGCAATAATTTAAGGTATGTGGTGTTAATTAAAAATGACACATCCGTAAAGAACTACCACATTAGCATTTTGGCTTGGCCCCATTGAGTGGACAGTAACTACGTTAATGATGAGTTAACTGCGAGATTTTATTTGCTATAAATTTAAAAGTTTATAGTTCATTTTACACATTTTGAGAGTTTAGTGTTCAATGTACTTTTCATGCAATACTTTAGAGTTTATAATGCTCATTAACCCTATAATGAATTATTCAATATAATTTATATTTATATTTATTTTATTAATTTTAACATAAAATCTTAAATAATTTATTTAAATATTGAGATAATTATTTAAAGTTTTTAAAATTGGAAGGAGAGGGATAGTAGATAGTTAGGTTATAAGAATAAAATAATGATTTTAAAAATTTCAGTATAATTATAAAAAAAATTAAGTATTTTAAAATATTTAACGAAATATTAGCAATGTTAACAATTACACTAATCTTATATGTAGTAAAATACAATAATTTTTACTGTTCCTAGATAAGTGAAATTAATAGTTTTGTGAAGCCCATCATTCTTCTTCTTTAAACCTCAATTGTTTTTTTAACCTTTTTTTGCAATACTTTTTGTTATACTTACTTTTTTATTTTGTTAAAAAAATGAAGCATTTTTAACTATAATTGCTAGCATTTTAAAATTATTTTTATATTGTATTTTTATAATATCATATTATCATATTATATATATATAGCTTTGAAATTATCTTTTAATTTTTTTCAGGGGCAATAAGTTCAAAAATAAAATAACATATTTATATTTTGGATAAATGAGCAAATTATCTATTGAACTTTAGGTCCAATAGTATCATAAATCTTAAATTATTTATTACATAAATTGTTCTTTTAATTTTTGAAAATGATATAATGTAGTATCTGTCTTTAACAAAAAATAATTTTGACCGTTAATTAACTAGAAAGTGAACTAAAAAATTATTGAAAATGACCAAAATTTTTTTTGGCTTTTTTCATAATATCTTGGGTCATTATTTGTAATTTTTAGGTCCTTTATTATATTTTTTTCATTTTCTATAATTTTTGATGTTCTTTTTTGTTATTTTTTAGTTAATTAACTATCAAAGTTAACTTTTATTAACAGTAAGGAATATATTGCATTATTTTTAAAAGTTAAGAGAATAATTTACGTGATAAATAATTTTAAGATCTATGATACTATTGGATTTAAAATGTATGGGGTAATTTGCTCATTTATCCTTATATTCTTAGCATGCACAAAATAATTTTTTTTTGAAAAAAAAGGTTTTTTGATTGCTTACTTGTATCCTCTAATTGAAGAAAATTATATTTAAGACATAATTGAACACTAAATGTTAACACCTCTTTGGAAAGAATTCAAACATTAGTTTAGGGGCCAATTTGCTTTTTCAACCCATAACTTTATTGTCATTGTTATTAACAATGCATTTAAAACCGGACCCAATATTAAACCGAAAAGGCTAGTGGTTCATTGTTCGCATGGTCGAACCAATTGGATTAATGGTCAAACCGTTGACGTAATAATTAAATTAAAAAAATTATATATGTATATAATAATCTAAATATAAGAAATAAATATGAAATTACTACTTAACTTTAAAATAAAATAAAATATTTTAAATTTATCATAACTCAATAAGTCATATAGTACAACATAACATCAAATAATTAAAAAAAGTAGTCATTTTCTTAATAAAATTAATAATTTTTTTAAAAAGAAAAAGTCATTTTTTGAACAATGTGGTGGTCCAAAGCGGTTCAATCCGGCTCAACTTTCCAAATGATTTTTTTTTAATTCAATTGAGCCATTAGCTTGATCAATCTGACTTTTTAATCATTAGTTATTAAAAGTGTTTTCTAATATAGCCATACTAGATTATCATTTTGATAGTGCCACCTTTTTTCATGATCTCTGGAGAATGGCAATATGTAAAATTTTTGTTAACTAAAAGAAAATAAACTGGTACATAAATATGTCTTTTAGATTAAATATTATTATGCATATCAACAATTGAAGTCTAAAATTAATTATCAAGAATTATTGAATTAGTTAAAATATATATTAAAAATGATCTAAATTTATAGGGGCACAAAATCCTATGACTAGAAGGAGCAAAATACAAAAATTTATATTATTTTCATATAATTTCTCCAAAATGAGGGTTGCATGTGCTTCTGGCTTCACCATTGCGTTCTAGCTAAAGAGCAAGACAAATCTTCATCTCACCCTAAGGTGCCCACGTCTCATTTCCCTACCTCAAGTCAGAGCCACCACTACATTCTCATCCAATAAAGTCACCAGTTACCCCTCTGTACATGAACCAGGTCATTAACACAGAAATCCGCATGATGGGGCCGCTTGATGGCATTAATCACAAGTTTCAATACAGCGAGCATCCGAATTTCCAAAGGCAAATGTAGATGGATTTAAAAACTTAGTTTTATAAAAAAAAAAAAACATAAAGATAGGATGCACGAAATATTCTCTTGAAAAACATGCATACCAGCGTACTGCTGTCACACGTATTGAGAAGAGAGAGAGAGAAAAGGGGGGGGGGGGAGGCCGTGTTTCTTCTTTAATTAAATTTGGAGGTACTTTCTAGTGATGTTTAGCTTATCCAGTACAACAAAATGACTAATTACCATGAAACTACCAGAAATAATAAATAATATTGAACCGGTACACCTATATCACAAATTCATGCTTTCATCACTCCTGCTCTGTAAATTGATGACATATTAACATTAAAATTATCACTTTTCAAATCGAACAGCATCCTGATACTGATCTGGGAACCTTCACCCAGCAGAACAATTTACAGCAAGAATTTAAAGTTCCTGGAAAAGGATGAGTCAAGAAACAATACTAGAACACAAGTGATTCTACTTTGGGTTAATTTGGGAAAATTTAAGAGAATAGCACTTACAATCTCTGCACCAAGTCCCCAATTCTAAAATCTATGCCCCAAAGTACTCCATCATTTCATCATCACCCAAGATATCATCAAGATCAAATGGTGGAGTGCTGAGTCCTCCAAAATCTAACGACAGCCCATGGATTGGCGATCCAAGGAAAGGGTTTTCCATAGGCCTTTCTAGCTCATTTTGAAATGTATCTTTTACATAATACTGCAGGTCTACTCCAGTAATCTCACCCCCTTTCATATGTCCAGCTGGCATAGGGGCTGCGTCATTCTCTTGCCGAAACAGTTCACCATTTCCCGATTGCAATAGCTGCCCTTCACAATTAGGCCTAAATCCTGCTGCCGAATCATAAGCATTACAAGTATCTAGATTATGTGTATCAGGATCTTGCATTGCATCATAGCGCAATGGTCTTCCATTCATGTGCATGCTTTCTGAGGAAATTGTGGTGTTTGAATTCAGGTAAGGGTACTGACCAAATTCATGTGCTGGCATTTGAGTCGTCACCTCAAGACCTTTCTCCAAGGGCGTCAGAACAGAATCTGTCTCATTGACCTCTCCATTTTCATGAATTTGGAATCCAGTTCCTGGCACTTCCTTCTGGGTCTTATTCAGCAGAGTGCTGATAGGCTCAACATGTAAGGCTTCATTTTGAGATGATGCAGGTACTCTGTCAGATGCACTTGATATAAAACGGGGTTTTTTCTTCCAGCGTTGCTTCTCAGGTCGCTCTTTATCTTGGATACAATCAGGACCCATCCTCCGTTTATCTAACGAATCAACATCCATCAACTGATTTTTCCTATTGTCTTTAGAAGAAACAGAACCAGCACCATCATCAGCACCATCAACATCATAATTGCTATCACTGCTAGCTGGCCCTTGCTTAGTTTCAACTGGTACACCAGGCCGTGTTTTAGTTATTCCAGATGAACCATTATCACTACTAGGCTGCCTAATCAGAGCTTCTTCTCGACTTAATACCCCTAACCAAATTGCACTTTCCTTTGCCGTCATCTTATCCTGTAAACACTTGGACTGGCGGACATGCCTCCTTATTTTTGCAATGTTTGGTGACATGTGCTTTATAACTGCAGTTAACACTCCAACTTTCCACATCTTCTTCAAATCATGTGGCTTCTTGTAAGGAGGACTCTGTCCATGGGGTAGACCAAGTTGTACCCACCAATCTTCATTCCCAGTTGGCCACCACGGTGGAGGAACACCCTTTTCCAATGGATACTTCCGCTGAGGAGGATCACAATGTTGCATCAGAGAAGATAGAAGTGACCCAAGCGTTGCATCTTGCAGGTCTTGGAGAATGCTATGTGAGTTCCCCTTCTGTTTATTATCAGCCTCGCTCATAGCAAGACACTCTGCTTCATACTTGGCTATAGCCGCAGGACCATTTTTATCAAACTTTACCTTCTCTTTCCACCATGCTCTAATGTTATCTGAAGCACCACTCACGGGCTTACCCTTCTCAGGAATAATTCCATACACAAACCCACGGGCTTTACAGACTTCCATAAGCTTCAGCATATACTTAAGGATCCCATCTTGTGCTCTGGACATTTTTTTCCTGCGAGCTTGATCAGAGGTTTGCTTGGACTTTTGCTTCTCTGCAGTCTGCTGCGCAGCCACCTTCTGTCTTTCCTTGATCCTCTTGAGTTTGATGCGATCCTTCAACATCCGTCTCTCCAATTCCTCTGGTTCAATCTCTTCATCACTGACATCTTTCTCCATTATGGTCTGGCATCCAAAGTCATCAGCTTCTAAATCCGAACTGTAGATCAATGTGTCACCAAATATCATAAGCTTCTTCACTGAATTAAGTAAGAAATCCTCTCAGCCTGGCTGCTGAGAATATCTATTGAAATGAAACGTGGAACGGATTTGGGACCAACAAATTAAGAAAGGCTATCTTGAATTGCTCTCCAAAGACAGAACTGAACTTACATATATAAGTGTTCATTGAGACATACGGAAGTCAGTAAAGAGCAAACTCTACTAGCATAAGAAAACTAATAATCAACACTCGAAATTTCATTCCTTTTCTCCCCAATCGTTTCTCAGAAACCAATTTAACAAAATTCAAGCGCTGAATTCCAAAGTTGAAATAGATTGCATATAATACCTGAAATTGTTATAAAGTCGTCAATACCCTATATGGAATCAGAAAACTTACGAGGCTCAGGGAACACTCATCGCAATACCAAAATGTTACAAAACTTATACAATGTTCTAATTTTGTTTTGAATGAATCCATATGGCCCGTGAACTCCAAAGAGCAAACAGATAATTGGCCTGACTATACGATTCGTATAAAAGAAAAGGCAAAGTATAGCGTAAACTTTTTTGGAATAACACAAATAAAAGAAGCTTCAAAAATAGAAGAAAAGTCACGAAATTGAAGCTCATAATAAAATCAATATAGTCAATACTCATACCCAACGTCAACTCCAAATTCTTGGATTTCACCCATCAATAAATATGCAGGGGACAGTTGAGTGCCAAAGTCGAGCTTCTCGAATCGTTTACAGCGTCCCAGGTTGAGAATCGAAGGGGGCTTTTGCTTTTTGCGGGCAAATCCGAAGGAGGTTGAACAATCCGTTGCCGCGATGGGAAAAGCGGTTTTATCCTCTGGAGATGGAGATTGAAGAGAGGAGGGAGATGCCCAAACTCTTACGACGATTGGAGAAAAACACAAAATCACTTCGGCCTTCGGAGTCCGCACGATCCCCTGCAACGCGCCTCTAACTTTCTAGTGTGGATCTTCACGTTCTACTTCGGCCTTCTTCTTCTTCTTTTTTCTTTTTCTTTTTTTTTTTGACAAGGTCTTAATTTAAAAAAAAAAATGATAACAAAATTCCATCAAAACATGTACTCCCTCCGGTCCTATTTATAAGTCATTTCTACCAATCTCATCAATACCAATATAATAAAAGTACAAGGAATAAAAATAAGTAAAATTCCAAACATGCCCTTATATAACAAATCTAAAAAGTAATGTCCTGTTACTTTTTCTCTCTCATAAAAGGTAATTTTGAAAATACCTCTCAAATATTACCTAAAAAGACGTATAAATGGGACCAAATACACCTTCTAAAATTGGATTTATAAATGAGACCGGAATGAGTAAATCACAGTCAGAAAACCCATCTTGCTCAGAAATTGTGAATACTAATAAGGAAACCCATTTATTTGAACATATCAATTTGAATATCTTAACTTGGTTCTACTCTATCAATACCATTTCAAATGCATAGTATATAATATTTTTTTATTGTTTACGGTTATTCTTTTACTATAAATTATTTTTATTTGACATACCATCAAATATTAAATATAAATACTTCTCTTAATAAAAATTTAAATGTTAATTTTATCAACTTAACCCCTGTTGGAAGTATTTTATTCATGTCATTTTGACAAAAGAGCAGGGAACTATAGCATTTAGCATTTGGATTCAAAACAAGTGAACAACTGAAATACAAGGCCCATTATCGTTGGGCATCCCAATTATTTTGTTATCGTTGCTTACAAAAACCTTCAAAATTCTACAAACAACATCGCCATCCATCTAGTACACTCTTTCAGTTTACACATACAGAGGGTCGCAGGTTTACCGGCGGAGGATGGCATAAAGAACAAATGATTTTTTGAGTTCGTTGATACGATTAGAGATCATCTGAGAACCCTAGTGACTTTATCCCCTCCTTGAAATAATTAGTTTTTTGGGCGTTGCCCTCTCCTTATATATATATCTATCTATCTATCTATCTTCATCCATCTAATCTTCATTATTATTCAGCTTATAACTTAAAACTTCAGTAACTCATGAAGGCGATCACGAAGAAGAAAGTTTTTGTTGACATTGTTCGTAGAGGTTGTGTTTCCACGTTTAACGAAACTAGTGCGAATATCATGCGTAATGATTAATGAGTAGTTTTACATATCTATAGCTTCAATGCACTTGCTTTCTCTCCAATGTTCTTACTTGTTTACTCCCCATTTCTATACACTTCTTTTGCCCCAGGTTACGAAAACAGAAACCTCATTCACATCCTCAAGCTAACCAAATAATGATAAATCCAAACTCCCGTCTAATATCTGGGAGCCAACGTACAAATGGTTGAGTGAAAAAAAAAAAATTATTACAAGCACCGGTCATTAACACAGGGTCTCTAGCATAAGTAATAGCACAAGTTACGGGGACAATAGCCACACCTTATATGATAATACAATAAAGAGTATTCATCATTTCTTTGTTCATAAGGAGAAATTGCAATTAAATCTAGGAAAAATACAATTATTAGTCCATATAGTTTTGTCAAATTTTGATCTTAATCCCTGTAATTTTTTTTTTCCAATGCTTTCAGTATAACACTAAAACCATAAGGACCTAAGCAGTAAATGTCATCTAATCTTACTGAAATTATAGAGATTGAAAATGCTGAAAAACAATAGGGATCAGTGGTTGTATTTTTCCTTAATCTAATTAGTATTTCTTGAGGAAATTCTTGAACCAGTAAGCAGACAATTTAGGGTATCTTTTCCAGTCATCCTTGAAATCAACGAAGTTGATCCCAAATCGCACAGTGTATCCTGAATCCCATTCCATGTTATCCAACAATGACCACGCGAAATACCCCTTTACATTCACACCGTCCCTTGCATGCACCAAAAGCCAACCAAAACATAAGAATTAAAATGCGACAATGACTCCATTTGAAACAAATAATACCTTGGGGGGGGGGGGATTCTTCTCACAGGGGGCTTCTTACCTAATAGCAGTTTGAAGATGGTAGAGATGACGGTAATAATAATCAATTCTGTAAATATCCTTAAGGGCTTCCTCAAGTGATAGTGTTGGATCATTATATTCATCATATCCTATAATATGCACATATATAATAAAATTCACTTAATTTCTTCAGCGTTTAACATTCACATCAACCAATGCATACATAAAAAAAGAAATATGACCAATGTAGTACCGTTTTCGGTAATGTAAATTACGGGGTTGTTGTACTTTCTCTTGATATAGAGCAGCAGTTTTTGCAATCCTCTAGGATAAATACATAACCAGTCTGACGCACCCTGCACATAAATGAAGGGTTATATTTATTATTTATTGAGGAATAAAAGGCCATAAAAGCTTTGATATGCATTTGCGAATGAAGTCGCACATAGATACCATTGGTCCAAGGGGCTTCCCATCACGACTATCTGTCATAGCAAAACAAAATACATGGTTTTACAATCACAATCACAGTATAGTTTTTCTTCAATTCTTTTATGCCATCAGAACTGAATTAATCATTGCATACACAACTTTCTCATATCTCATATAATGCTATTCTTACTTGTAACATTAACCAAAGAATCAGTCTGTAGGCTTGGTCTGCTGGGCTTATGTAGGTGAGGCGCATCAGCAGCATAAAAGGAAGAGTAGTAGTTTAAGCCAAGGAAGTCAAATGACCCTTTAAGTAGCCTGGATTGTTCTTTGGAGAACTTTGGCAATCGGTTTCCTACTAGAGATTGCATGCTTCTCGGGTATTCACCTTTTGTGAGTGGTTCCATATACCTGAAATCAAAGATAAAAAGTTCATGCACCCACTTGAAAGTTGTCTTCTTGCCATTTTCATCTGCTTGATTCTAATGCTATCTCCAACATAAAATTTCGGCGCTCCTTCCATTGCGTGCAGCCACTAGTCACAAGAAGGGGTCCGTAAAAAGGCCCACCAACTATCTTCAGAATCTTGAGGGCTCTCGTAATTCACTGATAATTGTCCAAAACTAACCTAAGTTCAACGGAATCTTTCATAGGAGTGAAAAGTGATGGATGCAGGGCAGTTAAGCTGTCCACGTAGTAGTCAAATTATTTTTATTCAATTTTAACAGAACTAGCTTTTACTCTTTACCTTGTACAACAAACGAAAGAAATGTCAATAGTAATACTTTAACATACAGAGTCCTCACCATCCAAACATGAAGTCAATAGCTCGGTCAGCAGCATCACAGTCTGATTTGCTATTGGAGAATGGTACTAACCAGTCAGAGTTTAGGGTTATGCCTATCACACCCTTTTGAGAAGCCTGCACACTTTTCCAAACATGCTGGTTATTTATTAATAATTCTAGTTCAACAGTAAATATGTTTACTTAAGTGTTTGGCCATTCTATTACAAGTCAAATTATCAATTTTTTTGGGCTCAGACTTATGAAGTTATATCCTTAATCAGATACAGGACCTGATACTTGATCTTATACGCTTGAACAGCAGCTGCATGAGCAAGAAGTTGATGGTGGGAAACCAAATAGGGCTCTGTCCCAGAATCACCGCCAGTGCAATTCATCTTCAACCAAGCAGAACACCGACCTGGTGCAAACCTGCCATTTGAATAGCCATTCTTGCTGACGCTCCTTGGTTCATTCAATGTAATCCAGTTCTTAACCCTATCACCAAATTCCTTAAAGCAGAGCTCGGCATAGTCCCTAAAATCATCTCTGCACATAACTTAAATTTAAGCCATTAGAGATTGATTTATGAAAATTCTTCCCCGATGGTCTTGCGGTGGAAAATTGAGTTACTTACACAATGTGAGGACTTAAGAAGCCACCATACTCATCTTCTAAAGCTTGGGGAACATCCCAATGGAAAATGGTTATAAATGGTTTCAGACCTGAATTAATCTCAATGGTTTGTCATGTTTATACCTTGTTATAAATATGATACTACAAAATAAAGGGCTAAACAAAATAAAAATTTAATTTTGACCATTAGCCAATAGCTCGTTGATGAGGTTGTCATAAAACTTAATTCCTTCTTGATTAATACCTCCACCAACCTTTCCTTCTGCAGAGGGTGCATAAAAATTTAAAAAGGTCAAAATGAAACGTGTAACTAGTAAACAACATCGCAGGCACATGAAATAACATTTGACTGACTTGGCAGTATTCTTGACCAAGAGATAGAGAATCTGTAAGCATCCATATTCATATCTTTCATGATCCTGACATCTTCCTATAATATGTAACAATATATCATCATGCTATAAAGAAAAACAAATGAAATGAAAGAAAACGACTCTTAAGAGTCGAGTTTGAAATCATTAGCCAATCATGAGAGCAAATGTCAATTTTGGTGTTCACCTATGTCATTCGGACCATACCTTATACCGATGGTATGAGTCATCAGCTACGTCCCCATTGCTTCCTCCTCTTATTTTTCCTGCAAACTCAATCTTGAAATTTAAACTAGTCTAGAATAAGAAAAATTAAATTTAAACTATTTATAATTGTCTGAGTTGAAAATAGCGTGAACAAAATCCTGAGAATACTTTGACTAGAATAACTGAGAAAAAAATCAATAGCATGCTTGGCCAGTGGCATTCAAAACCCCCAAAATTCAGTTATCCAGAATGACACTGGATGGTAGCAACTCAGGAAAAGTTAGTTGTACACAAAAATAGGCAGAAATTAGAGTTCAACAGAACTGGAAAAGAATGGGCAAAATAGTTTGGAACAGGGAGACGGATGGATACCTGGGAATTTATGGGTGAAGGTATCCCAGATACTAGGTCCTTTACCATCTTCATTTGCCGCACCTTCGTACTGCATGACAAGTTAATTCAATTAATTGTACATAACAAGGAAGTAGAGAAGAGGGACTAGAGTAAAGATGGACCTGGTAGGCGGAAGATGCGGTCCCGAAAATGAAGCCTACGGGGAAACTGGTGCGATTAAGATAAGAAACGTCAAGGACGGGCGGAGTTGCGGCAGATTGCATCAAAGTGATTGCAAGCAGGGCCGAAAGGCGACGGAATATTGCCATAAAGTAATGTAACTGAATTCTGTGATCTCCCATACCCAGGGCGAGATCTTGAATTTATATGGGAAATTTCTCAACTGCTTCAAACAATTCTGATCCGATATCATCGAGAGTTACCCATTATGAAGTGCATTGGCCACACAAATTCTTATGGTACCTTCGCCCCTTTTCTAAACCCATAAACAGTAAAATTTGAGCGAGTGTTATGCGTGCAATCGCTTTTCCGGCGTTCCTCTGAGCAAATGGATGAAGGAATTTCGGTGTCGAGACTCAAAAGAAAATGAACATGAATGCCACGACAGAGCGAGCAACAACCTTAGCAAACAGCGATTAGGAAGAGGATTCCGGAGAATGCTGAAGCAGGATAAAGTGGGGAAATTCTGACCCTTGGCAGAAGGGACCACCCAGATCACGCCACATTATCCAATTTTCCCTTGTCCGTCTTCACCATCTCAAGGGCATCTCCATGCCATCCATAGAGCATGGCATCTCTGAACTTGTCATGCTACATGTAAGATTTAAATGGTGGCTTCCATTCTAGACACTAGTAGCTCCTGACATAAAACAGATCGAGGGACATGTTTCTATGCACAAGTTCAGAATATAGGAATGCTAGAATCAGAGCGAATGTATAGCCCTGGCACCATAAGAATCTCTTTGTTCCCGGCTTTATCAAGGACAACCACCTCAGCACAACCGCGACACAGACGTCGAGAGGACAGACGCAGGCCGAGTCTTGTATTTGACTATGCCGACGCCTACTTAGCATTAGGCAAGCAGGGATTGACCGATTGGTGTGCATGTAATTAAATAAGAAAAATTAACCTTTTAATCTTTATAATTTTACCCAATTTTGAATCAGATCTTTATAATTTCCTCCCTTCTTATTGGATCCTTATAATTATTTCCGTTGAAAGGGTTAGTCCCTCATGTTATATTCTGTTAGTAATGATCAAAACACCATAAACGTAGGGGTGACACAGGATGATGTGATGCTGAATAAAGTCTGACTAAGCATGCACCTTGGAACTTTTTGCCACGTAGACAATGACTGTCGTTCACAGCTCCATCAAGAATCGAAACTTTGACCTCTCTTTCAGTCTGATCAAGGAAGCTCTTTTCTTCTTTAGTTTTACTCAATTCTCTTCCTTTTGGCCCATACCAAGCGAGGAAACAAAGGAGAGTGAGAGGCTACACTCATGTCGAGAGAATTTGAACAAGGAGAATGCCGATCGGTTTACACTTTGCCATTATTTAGCCAAACCGATGAAAATAATTGAAATTTTCTAGTGAAGCCTTCAGGTTTGTTCGGGAAAAAATCGCAGCAAGTGGAGTGTCTAGCTACTTCGAAATCAAGCATGTGAAAGTAGGGGAAGAAAAGACGACTGTGATGGGAAATTATTGCGGCACCAATTGAATAATATCTATATTTTATCATTTTATGATTGTGCCCTTTCATTCAAACTGGAATCTAGTAGCTCAAATACTTGACCGTCCAAAGGGACTCTCACCTTGTTTCATGTGCCTCATCGTCCTTTCAGTTTTTAGAAAATCTTTATAGAAGCCGAAGAAGAAAGCTTCCCTTCCAGCCGGTTTCGTGTTTGATTTGCTTTTAATGTGGGCCCATGTTAATCATTGTTACATATTATTACCAAAACGAGGGTAATAGTCATTCGGATCTCTGCCCCTGTGAATATACATTTCACATCATTACCGTTGAAAAAACCCGAATCAATCTGAACAATATAATTTTATTTAATAAGCCATTAGGCTATCTGAGTACATAGCTTGGGCAATTATCTCACTGTCTGACTCACCAAATAAGTCTGGGCTATAAGAGACTTATATAAACCAACAACAGAATCAAGAAATACAAGAATGAATTAAGCCTAAACTAACTAAACAATACAAAACACATCCAGGCCCATGAAAAGCCCACAAAGAAGGATTATTTCTTATCACTCCCTCTCAAGTTAGATCCAAAAATAGTTAGGGTACCCAATTTGGATAACAAATTATCATAACTCTTTTTCCGAAAGGCCTTTGTCAACATATCTGCCAGCTATTCTCCAGACGTCACATGCTTTAAAGTAATCAAGCCTTCCTATAACCTTTCTCTCACAGAATGATAATCAATCTTTATGTGTTTTGTTTTTTTATGGTAGACCGGATTTGAAGCTATCTAAATTGCTTCCTTAATGTCAAAGTACACAAAAACAGGAGCTAAATTAGTAATATTTAATTCTTTCAATAAACCTTTTAACCAAGTAATTTCAGAAACAATACTTCCTAGGGTCCTATATTCTACCTTAAAAGAGGATTGTGAAATACTAATTTATCTCTTAGATTTCCATGCAATAAGGGCTCCTACTAACTTGATCATATATCTTGTGACTAATCTACGGGACTTAGGACAAGAAGCCTAGTCATAATCACAGTACCCTTCTAATTTCATTTTACCTGAATAAGGAAATGTATGCCTCTTCCTGGATCCTTTTTTCAAATATTTCACAGTATTTAAATCAGCCTTGAGATTGAGACTTTCTTGGATTTTGCATAAATTGACTCAATAAATGAACATAATAGCTAATATCAAGCCTAGTAGTAGCTAAATACAATTACTTTCTTATTAAGCGCCTGTATCTAGATGAATCAGCTAATAAATGATCTTTTTTCCCCTTTCTAACAACACTGTAAAGCTTTAAACCTGGGTTCATTGGCATATTCCTTGGGTTTACAAGCACTAATACCTGTAGTGGCAATTAAATCTAAAATATATTTTCGCTGATTAAGAATCAATCCTTTGTCAGACTTGGCAATTTCTATTCCAAGAAAATATTGCAGCAAACCTAAATCTTTCATTTTGAAATTATTGTGCATATATCTTTTTATTTCTTCTATTTCCTTCTTACTATTTCCAATAATGACAAGATCATCTACACATGCTAATATGATAATGAACTCATTTTCACGTCTTTAAGTGAATAAGGAATAATCAAATTTACTTTGTACAAAACTTCCAATAAGCAAGGCCTCACAAAGCTTTGTATTCCACAGTTGTACAGCCTGCTTCAACCCATAAAGAGACTTAATTAGTTTGCAACCTTCTTTTTCTCCTTGCTTGCTAAATCCCAGAGGGATCAAGAAAGCATTGTCGACATCTATTTGAAATAAATCCCAATTATTTCTAACAGTGATAGCCAACGTAGAACGCACATTATTCATTTTTAACAACAGGTGAAAAAGTTTTAGAATAATCAATCCATTCTATTTGACAATAATATTTTGCAACTAGCCTTGCTTTTAATTTGTTTAAGCTGACATCAGCATTAAACTTCTAAAAAATTCACTTATAGCCTATTGCCCTTTTTCCAGGGGGCAATTATACTATTTCCCAAGTCCTATTTCTTTCTAGTGCAGTAATTTCATTTTTCATTGCTTGAACCCATCTATAATCTTTTATGGCTTCTGCAAAGGTGTCTGGCTCAATAATATCATTAGTACATGCTATGAATTTCTTATATGATGGGGATATGTTAGCATAACTGATACTGTGTTGCATAAGATAAAGAATCTTTTTATTTCCTTTACTATCAACCTTATTTGCCAACTCAAGACTAGAACAGTCATAATCACGAAGCCAAACAAGAGATCTTTTATCTCTAACAAGCCCATTGTTATCCTCATTTTTGAGCAAAATGCTATTGTCTCTAACCATAGGATTATCATTATTATGCCTAGAAACATCAGGGTTATCACACAAACTAGAAAGATAAAAAAAATGTTATTTTCTAGGTTTCTAATAATAGGATCAACATGTGTCCCAATGTAATAATGCTAATCATGCATACTATAGCCGTAAAGGAAAGGATCTTGGAGACTTACCATTTTTGGATTCTGATCAAATGTCTTTGTAATTGAAAAAGGAAATTTATTTTCTAGAAAAATAACATCTTGGGTTAAAAAATATTATCATTTTTCATATCATATAATATATATCCTTTCTAATTGTTAAGGTAGCCCAAGAAAACATAAGCATCTGATCTAGTTTATAATTTATCTAGTCTTCCTGGATTCTTAGCATAGGCAAGACAACCAAACACTTTAAAGTTGGATAGATCAGGTTTCTTTTTGAATAATGTTTCATAAAGAGTCTTAAAATCCAAGATTCTAGAAGGAAGTCTATTAACTAAGCAGACTGCAATTCTGATAGCTTCTCCCCATAATTTTATAGGAACATGGGCTTGAAAAATTAGATTTCTAGAAATTTCTAAAATGTGTCTATGTTTTCTTTCAACAACCTCATTTTGTTGGGAAGTACAAACACAAGTAGTCTCATGTAAAATGCTATTTTCTAGAAAATAGGTGAACATGATTAAGGAATTCTGAGCCATTATCACATCAAATTCTTTTAATTTTAGCTTCAAACTGATTTCTTACCAATTTAAAGAAGTTTTTTCGATTGATAGGATGCCTTTTCTTTGTTATGTAACAAATAGACCCAAGTAACACAAGAAAACTCATCTCTTATTGATAAAAATAATTTGTATCCTTGATGAGTTGGTTCTTTACATGGTCCCCAAACATCAACATGTAACAGATCAAAATAGGATTTAGTTTTTCTTTCACTAGTAGCAAAAGACAGTCGAGCTTGTTTTGCCTTAAAACAAATATTACAATTGGATGAATTAAAGGAAGATAAATTGTTCTATAATGAAGAGACATGTTTGCGTGTGGAGCCTGAGGGGTGTCCCAATCTCAAGTGCCAAGTGTTACTATTAGAAGTGACATTTTTAGTGAAAGCATGAACTCTCATCTACAACGTTTAGTCATGAGCTTATTCTACCAATCATAATCATTCTGCCATTGTAAGTCCCTACAAGACACATAAGTTAGGAAAAAAGGCAACTATGCATTTATGTTCATCTGTGAGATGAGATATAGAGATCAAGTTATAACATATTCCTAGAGCTTAATAGAGATTATCTAAAGTAATATTATCAAACAACTTGATAGTCCTAGTGTGTATGATCAATACTTTTTTAGAATTAGAAATTTCAATTTTAAAAGAGGGGCCAATGTATTCTGCAAAATAATCAAGATAAGATAAATGACTATGTGACAGGTGGCCCCTAATCTAATGTGCTTGATTTGTATTTATAAAGGCTAATGCTAAAGGGTTTAAACCTGAAGGTTCCCCTTGATCTGTGGACGTAATTGTTCCCACTGATGCCTTGCTACTTGACATTGTTGAGTGTTGACAGTGCTTTAATCTCCTTCTTTAAATTCTCAATGATTCTTTCATATTCCTTTGGTGAGAGTAATTAGTGTTCAGTTAGGGAGTCACATTACTTAGATGAGTTGACAGTGGCATTACTTTCGGCACTATTTGCTTGTTTGAATTGATTGCTGCGTCCTCTTCCTCCTTGAAAATTTGGAGGGAATCTAACAAGATGAAAGCTATTGTCTCTTATGTGGCCTCTTTTGCAGCAATAAGAACGCTCATCAGTTGAGGTGCCTCTAGCTTTCCCTCTACCAAATCTACCACGGCCTCTCGTAGCTATCACGGATCCTTCACGTTAAATAAAAGAGGATGTAGAAATAATTTTTGCGCCTTCTCTTGAGATATAATTGAATATGCCTCATTCACGGATGGCAATGGATCTATAAGAAGAATTTGACTTTTGACGGATTGATACGAGTCATTGAGCCCCATTAAGAATTGGAAGAGCTTTTGTCATTAAATGTTCTTCGTATGCTCTAGAATGGAATTACACTTGCAAGTAGGTATGGGAAAGATTGTCGCATATTCCTCCCATAGCTCCTTAAGCCTTATGAAATAACTCAATACAGATAGATTTCCTTGATTATGAGAATTTATAAGACGATAAAGGCTACATACCTTTGTTCCGTCAGTCTGATTAAAATGCTCTCACAAATCCTCCCAAAAGAGACAAGCACTATCAAAGAACGTGATACTCACTATGATTTCCTTGGAGAGAGAATTGACTAACCAAGAGAGCACAGCAGCATCGCAGCGATACCATTGATCCCGAAGATTCTCTTTTTGGAGATCTCTCTTGCAAGAACCATTAATCATACCGATTTTTTCCTTCGCGCATAAAGCCATCTACATTGAGCAACTTTAAATAACATAATTTGCGCTTTCGGTAAGTGGTTGAGGGACGAGAGTGGTGGCCTGAGTGTTGGACGGATGAAGGTATAATAGATGTGTCAAATCAAGAATAGATGCTGAGGATTAGATGGCTGTGGTTTCAGTTATGTCGGAAAGAAAAGTTAGCATGGCAGAGACGTTGATGGAAAAGACGATTGTAAAAGCTAAGGCAAGAACACACAGAGAATAGCGGCGATGAGAGACAAGAATAAGGGAGATGAAAAAGAAATTAGGGCAAGAATGCTCATCCGATTTCAAGAAGGGTAATAGGTCATATGATTTGACCAAGCTCCAGTACCCTGTTGAAAAAAAACCCGAACCTATCTGAATAATACAATTTTATTTAATAAGCCATTTGAGTACATGGCTTGGGCAATTGCCTCATTGTCTAACTCACTAAATAACTAAATAAATACAAAACATATCCAGGCCCATAAAAAGCCCACAAAGAAGGATTATTTCTCAACCATTACCACGCCTACATTCCAAAAATGCCATCTCCCCATCTCTACTCAGTTTCCTTGCATCTCTACTGGCTGCCCCCGCCGTCTTTTTTTGGATCACCCTCCCCACCACTGTCCGTCTCTCCCCTCACCTCTTTGTCAGCCTCTCCCGCTATGTCTACCACTGCCATAGCCCCTCACCTACCACCATCGTCAGCCTCTTCGTCTTCTTTGCCACGACGGCCTCTTGCTTCTTTATCTCCCCCTCCATTGTCTACCTCTTCTCTCTCCATCATTCCTCCCTCATCGATTTCGCCACCACCATCGGCCTCCTCCCCTCTCCATTAAGTTTGCGATGTCATTTGAGTGTTAGGAAGAAGATGACAATGTCTGCAACATCAATTGAGTTCTAGATCTAAGAGAGAGGAGAAGGCCGCAGAGGGAGAATAAATCCGTGTTGCTACATCGAATGGGCTTACTGAAAGAACAATCAGATTTTTGTTTTCATTATTTGTTGCTTCTCAATTTATGTTTCTATTCTTTGATTCTTTCTTGTAGTCGATCTATGCGTGCTGTTAATAGAAGGTCAAATGAGATTGATTTTTGGAGTGGATGGTTTTACGGGAAGGTAGAGGAATTAGGAGGGAAGAGTATAAAATAAATTTATCGAGGGCAATTCAGTTATTTTATATTTATATTTATTTAGTTTGATATAACAAATAAATTTGTTACCGACTTATTGAATATTGTACCATACATCCTTATGATAATAAGGATTGCGTTACAATATTCGTTTGCAGTGCAGTACTACGAGAGCCTACAATTGAACCAGACGGGCCTTTAGAATTAGAACTAGCTTGATTGTTCAGATCCTGTATCGTTGAGAGGAAGCTTCGAGATAAAAAAAAAACTCAAACCCACTACGTCAACAGATCCCTAATACACATGTTGATGCTCTCTTTCTCATCAGATCTATCAAACCCTCTTGTTCTTCTCTCTTGCAAATAGAAATCATTGGCCCTCTTATCGTTCTTGATCACAACAAATCTCATCCTCTCGTTGTCGACAGCTTCACTCTCCCTGGGGCTTATATGCTTAGTCAGAGTTTGTTTAGTTACACATCTTCCTTTGTCATGGTAACATTAACGGTGCTAGGAGCGTTGTTAAAGTATAATTAGAAGAGGGACTAACTTGTTTAACAGGAAAAACTACAAGGATTCAACAACAAAAAATATGTATAGGGATTTGACTTGAAATCAATTAAATTACAGGATCTGGCAAATTAGTTTTCCCTTCAATGAATCATTGTGTGATTGGAAATTTATAGGGAGAATGAGCAAGTTCCAAAAGAAGAAGCAAAATTTTTTTTAAAAAAAAACTAATTTTAAATATCAATTCAAATAATTATAAATAGAAATCTAAATTATTATTCTATAAAATTTATCTTATTAATTTATAAGCTCAGTTATGAAATGAGAGACTTTAAAAAATAATGAGACAAAACTTGGTAGAACCTTAAAATGTATTTTAAATAATTTTGTCGTGTAAAATATGAAATAAACTTATTAAAATCATAACTTAATTCAACTTTCTATCAATGCTTATTCATTAATTTATTAATAGAATTGGTTACTAATATTACATTATTTCATATACAACAAGCCTCATTCACCTTATTAATTATGAGTTAAAAGTTATTTTTACTCTTTAATTTTAATTGACAAGTCTGTGAGCACCCTAAATTTATTGATAGGTCAATTTTGTCTCTCGACCTTAAAAGTTTACTTTTTTGTGCTCTTTGTAACACCCTCAAAAATACAAACCGATTTTTCACAAATTATTAAAACCATTATCATGGTAGAAAAGTTTCTTACCATGATACATCCAAGACATAACACAAGTTTTAAAATATTCAAAAAGGCAATTAAAACCTTGAGAGACAGACATAATCCTCATGTAATGATATTCAAATCAGATCATAAATCAAGAGGGAGAGACATAATCCTCTTGGTCATATAAATACTTTTAATAAAAAGGATTAGAGTTTACATGCTTCACAAAGAAGATATGTCCTAAGTTGGCACAAGATACATTGTATAATCTAAAATAAGAGGTAACGTAAAAGATGGTGTCTCATAACCATAGTTACACCTCTGGTGCTTTCCCAGCCAGACTCGCTCCTGTAAAAATATTAACCACGGGGAATGAGACTTAAAAGTCCCAGTAACCAAAAATTAATATGTAATGATGCATGCGAATGTAACTAATCATGCGATTGCTAAGTGGGCACACAAAACATTTAACCGAATAATATTTTCAAACAAATCGAACAAGTATTTAATTTGCATGACTACACCTTATAACCTCCTTTCGCCATGCTCGGACGCCAAATCACCCGACCAAAGGTGAGTTGGACCAAGCGACACGCCACTCATTGGGTCCAATGAGGGCTTACCACGTGGTAATAATTAATCAACAGAAATTTCCATTAACACCATACATTAAAATACCCTGACAAGTCATGCATCATTCAAATATCCAAACAGAATATATACGAACAATAATATCTCATCATGATAAACAAAAATAAATTTTTAACCACTTGGCAATAATTTCAAACAAGTATATACAGTATTTATTTTCAATAATTCATAATTTTTCCAAACAACAAAACAACACATAACCATTCACAAATACACCCATCACAATACATTAATAATGGTTACCTTGTGTCTTGAATAACAAGTTTCCCTTCACAACTTCTTTTTCACCACTATCTTTGTCAATATAATCTACATAATTATTTCACAATACTATATATTAATTTTACATTAAAATAAATAACTCTAATTTAAAGAGTTAGAAAGTCTTAGATCTATAATCCATATTAACACTAATTTAAGATTTATGCCTCATTTAACTTCCCAAATTCTTTTCTAAAATTCTCGTATCCTAATAAACTATTTTTTTTATCCTCAATTCACTTCTAGTATCACAATTTTATCCTTCTATATTCTAAAAATTCATTCAAAAATAAATTAAAAATTTTAGAATTATCCTGAAGCCTCAAATCACCTTTCTATAACCTCAAAAGTACCTATTCATACTTAAATAAATATTTAATAATTAGAGATTCATCCCTACATCTTAGATTCTACATAAATTCAACCATATAGATCTAGAGTTTAACTCAAAAATTCTTAAACATGAGTTTCAATCTCAAGAAAATATTCTATAATATTTTTATATCCCTAAGAACTTTAACCTATATTTTTAATCTATCATATCATCAGATTAACTATCCTATAGAAAAATTTCAATCAAAATATTTACTCCATCCTACAAAATAATCATATCACTAGAAAGCTAATATTATTTAGAAAATAAATATAAAATTAATTTTGTAATTAAATAAATTTTTAAATGCTAATCTAAACAGAAAAGTTAGAACATACCTGAAGAAAAAGAAAATAATCCTCCTTTGCAAGAAGACGCCTAGCAACGTGAGAGGAAAAGAGAAAAATAATATAAAAATGAGATTGTGGGTCCCAAAATTATAAAAAAAATTATAGGTCTAAATTTAATTATTCAAACCTTTGGGTCATTACTTACAATTTTCTCTAAATTACATCTTGGGCCCTTAGTTGTAATTTTTACAATTGCATAAATTTTTCTTTTCTTCCTTGCACGTTCTTGCTTTCTTTTATACATGAGTAATCCTTTCCTCATCCCACATCTAACCGATGTGGGACTTCTACACCCCCCTTTCTTTTTTTTTTTTTTACTTTTTTTACTTTTTTTTAAACTCACACACACATAATAATTTTTTTTAAATCTTAAAATTATATCTTAACAAAATATTTTTTATATAATTTTAAATCTAAGTTTTTAATTCATAATTAAATTTCTAATTATATTATTATTTTTGAATAATCTCAAATAATATAAATTCCTATTATTATTTATTTATTTATTTATTTTTAAATAAAAACTTAAATTTTACAACAATTTTTTTTATCTAAAAAAAAATTATGATGTTACACGTCATCTTCTACTTGTTATATGGGTTTTACTTTTAAATTTTTTTAATAAAAAATTAATTTTTTAATTTTTTAACTTTTAACTCACTTGTAACTCAGTTTTTCAATTATGACTCGCTGTGACTCAATACCTCAACTTTTGATTCACCTATAATTCGGTCCTTTTTTTTAATTTTTTTAAAAAAATTTCTTATCAAATAAGAGGGATAAAAAATATTTATATATTATTTTAAAATACCCTTCTCTTGCTCATTGATTTGAGATATAAGCTAATATGAAAAAAAATTAACAAAAGTTCAGAGACTAATTTGTGAGGGATCCAAAAGTTGAGGGATTGAGTTATAAGGGAGTTATAGTTGAGGAATTGAGTTATAAGTGAATTAAAAGTTGGAGGATAAAAGATCAATTTTTTCTTTCTTTAATGTTTTTATTATAAAATATTTCATGGTGGGCCCCACCATTTTTAATATTTTTTTAATATAAAAAACTCTCTCTCTCCCTCTACTCATCTCTCCCTCCCTCCGTCTCCGTGTCCTTGTCGTTCACTATCCGAAAATCTTAAACAAGACACAGTAAACCTCTTCATCATTCATTCCTTCCATAAATAACATCTGATTCATGGTCCATTCCTAAACACATATAAGAGAGAGAAGTCAAACCTTTCCCTCAATAATGGACATTTGGTCATGGATATGCAAGCTTCCTAGTAGCTCGGAGGACTGGTCTAATTCATTTATATTCGAACTAGCCATTTCCTTGCTCCCTCTACTGATTGGACCTTGTTGGGAGTGAGAGTAACCACGTAATGTAGAAGAAGAGAGTGGGATCACTCCTTCGCGGCGACGGGATAACCTTCTTCATAAAAATCTCACTGTGGACTCTGGTAGACCACTCCTTTACTCAATCACACACCTCATGATCCCCCGTTATGTTGATATATCTGTTTCTAAGAAAAACAACAGGGGAGATTCGATGGCTGCTCTCACTCCCAGCAAGGTCCCATCCAATTTTGAGTCATAAGATTTGATTGCCCTATAGAATCATCGGCCACGCCAGCTTGATTATCTCCAACGTTTTCCCCAAGATTCTCACGGTCACAGTATTATAATTCATTCACTTCGTCATCATTAGCAGTCCCCATCTTGTTCTTGAAGTAGCTCCTGTATGGCCATTGTGGCACCTCTAGCACGAACAAGCTATCCATCGAGTTTTTACCATTGGATTCGGGCAAGATTACTTTCTCGGTGAGTCTGGTTAGTTTTACTTGAATCACAGGGTTGGGTGGGAAAGAAGAAATCTACAGGAAAGTAAGCGTTAAAGGATGAGGTTTTTTGTGTGTTGATGAGCAAATGTTGGAGGTGCTCGTGTGGTTGGATCCAAGGGTTTGATGATATTATGGGGGTTAATTCATTTGATGGACCCTCTTGCTTTGGTTCGTGTTTGAGAAGTTATTGATCTCATTTTTTGTTCTTCCTCTCAATCTTCCCGCAATTAGCGACTACTTGGGTTTGCATTAATTAGTTAAGTATGAGGACCAGAGAGGGGGGGGGGAAGGGAAGAGAGATAAGTAGAGAGAGATTATAAAAAATATTAAACATGGTGGAACTGGAACCCAACGGGAAATATTTTATAACAAAAAATATTAAAAAATTAAAAGTGGGACTCACAAGATAGGGAGAAGAAGCCTGTTAACGGGGGCAAGAGAAAGTGAATTTTTTAAATTAAAAAATAAAATTAACTCATAATTTAATTTAGAGTGCTCGCAGCACAGGCCCTTCGAATTAAACTAATGACATTTAACCCTGTTAATTAAACTTGGGCCGACGGAAGCCTTATTCTATAGCTTTATGCCCGTGAGTGAATTGGGTCCTATTTCTTGTCCAGAGTCCAAGTGGGATCCGTACGAGATGTTTTCTTTCAAGGCGGCGACATCGGCTGGAATCAGCGTGAGATTTGATTTGATCAGTGGAGTTGGAGAATCTCGGAGACGAGTATGGAGTCTGACTCCGACGAAGGCCAACACCGTGTGCGACTGAGCCAGAGGCTGGAGTGGTCTGATGTTACTCCAGTTCCGCAAGACGATGGCCCAAATCCCGTGGTGCCTATTGCCTACACCCAAGAGTTTACAGAAGTTATGGACTATTTCCGAGCCGTCTACCTAGCCGACGAGCGCTCCCCTCGCGCCCTTAGCCTGACCGCTGAAGCCATTGGGTTCAATTCTGGCAATTACACTGTATGTATTATGTAACCCGCCATGCGTGTGTCTGCATGACTCAGTTCGCTTTCAACTAGGTCTTCTGAGTTTTCACCTAACGAGTAAGTTCTTCTGAATCTTTAGGTGTGGCATTTTCGGCGTCTGTTACTTGAATCACTGAGCACCGACCTTCATAATGAATTGGATTTTTTGGAACGTATATCCGAGGGCAACTCCAAAAACTATCAGATATGGTGAGTTACAACTATCATGGCTGCCCCCCACCCTCCCAAAAAAAAAACTGTTTCCGTCTTAGATTATTGTCTTGTTCATGAACAATAGATGGATAGAATTGACTAAATTGTGTATAAACCACGATGGGAACCCAGTATACATCTTGTCTTATGCCACCCCCAGTTGCATTAGATAATATTGTCATCATGTTGAACAACCTAAATGGCTATTTTTGTTCATCTACTTTATTTCTCCTTCATTAGAAAATTTAAGAGTAAACTTGGATGGCTTCGTTCTGCATCACTTTACCCTACTCAGTTGGCCTTTCTGATAAACTAGTCATAGTGTGTACCCATCAAAATAAGTACTTTGGAAGAATTGTTGTCTAATATGAAGAAAATGTGCGTAGCTGTTTCATTGATTAGTGATATGTCAAGTCCTCAATTATGCATCCCCAACAACCCCCCCCCCCAAAAAAAAAAAAAATACTCTTAAGCGTCTCTAACTTGTCTAAGGAACCCTTGAGCATTTGCGAATTTGTTTAAATCTTAATGTGTTGTAGAAATATAAGTAGGGTGAGTATGGATAAGGTCCCATATTTATTTTAAGAGAAAACAAATTTCTGTTAGAAAAACCTCTCCTGCACGATCTTAATGTTGTTAAAAGCCTATGACAACAATAAGAACAATAACAACAAGCCTTATTCCACCAGCTAGGGAATGTTGCTAAAAGCCTAAAACAATAATGTTCTTCTTATTCCTCAGAAACTTAAAATGTGTGTGGATTCTTAATTGGTCCTGCTTGGGGAAGTGAATTGCACTCGTTCAACATGCAACTACACAGACACGTGGTTTATTGGGTTGTGGACCCATCACCACCCAAGTTATCATAATAAATTTCTTATGCTACTTCTGGGAGTGAGCTTTAGTAATAAAACCACAGTGAGATTAACTTGGGTGCTGCTCAATTTATCTGGAGATACATCTAGCCTGTAGTTAGGACATCATCTGACTTCTGTGTGTGTCACCTCCTTTATGGTTAAAGGAAATGTTTCCTTTTTTCACACTGAAATGGCATTTTAACTCGCTGTAAAACATTTTGAAACATAGTGATTAAGTGTTTGGTACATTTTATTATTCTGTAGTTTATATGTAAGTTATTTCTTACATGAATTGCATGGTGCATGGAAAATCTTTTTTTTTTTTTCACATTCACAATCTCCCTATCATTGCATGGATGTAGGCATCATAGGCGATGGGTTGCTGAAAAATTAGGACCTGAATCTGCAAACACAGAGCTTGAGTTCACCAAGAAGATATTGTCTATTGATGCGAAACATTACCATGCATGGTCTCATCGTCAGGTAATGCTTGCTAGCTTTTCCCATCAGGCTTGACGAGCCTGAATATGTCGTAAGCAATTTGTGTGGGTGGGTGTTTTGTTTCTACTGATTGAAAAATATTTTTTGCACATTAATTTGAACACGTTTTAGATGTTTAAACATTAAATCTTGGTCTGTCTTTTTTCTCGTCTGCCCCCTTTTTCCTTGGGCAGTGGATTCTTCAGGCACTGGGAGGATGGGAATACGAGCTTAACTATTGTCGCGAGCTTCTTGAAGAAGACATCTTTAACAATTCTGCTTGGAATCAGGTATGCAACCTTTTGATGCATGTTCTGTTTGATCCTGGTACCGCTTGAAAGAGACAAATCTTCTGGCATGATTTGTTCTACTTTCCTGAATGCTACATTTTGCAATTGAAAAAAAAAAAAAAAACGAACTATCTTCTACTATTCTCTTAAGTTCTGCCAATTTGTTCTCTTTTAGGTAGGCATTAGAGCAATGATAACTTAATCGGTGCAGTTCAGTGGCTTAAAATTAATTTTGCTGGGTATTGGAGTTGATAGTAGTGACAGAGTTCAATGAGTTGTGATTAATAGAAACGGGTGGTGCAAGATTCAGCAATAGTTTGCCTAGAATAGATTTTTTTTTAGGGGGGGTTAATTATATTTATCTGAGTAGAAGTAGAATAGTACATTTTGTCTATATTGTTTCATTCTCTTTTACTTTAGTCTTTGTTATAGGTAAGAACTGAATCATAATTATAAATTTTAAAATTACAAGAGTCAAATTAAAAATTGAATGGAACTATAGTGACCAAGTCCAAGTGTATGATTTTCCCAACATTATATATTTATCAACTTAATGTAACAAAATATTGGCAGGATTTTAACATCAGGAACTGAAATAATTTGTAACTGTGTGGATTAAGTTACAAATTTTTAACTTAAGGGGCCAAATTAAGTTGTACTTTTTCCATTTATTGTTGTCTTCAATTTTCTCTTCAGATCTTGGAAGTTCTGAAAGTTGACGTTCAATCTTTATGACAGAGATATTTTGTCATCACAAGATCTCCCATATTAGGGGGGCTGGAAACTACGAGAGAATCTGAAGTGCTTTACACCGTTGAAGCCATTTTGGCCCACCCGGAGAATGAAAGCTCGTGGAGATATCTTCGAGGACTTTACAGAGGTGAAGCCACCTTGTGGGTGAATGACCGTCGAGTTTCCCAAGTAATCTTAAAGATTTTGAGGTCAAAGAGAAACTATTTGTTCGCTCTGAGCACCCTTTTGGATCTTCTCTGCCACGGTCTCCAAGCTAACCCAGACTTTAGAGATGCTGTGGAGGCTTTAAAGACGTCGGATTTAGATTATCACGATAACGATTTAGCAACAACTGTTTGTTCAATCCTGGAACACGTAGATCCACTTAGAGCCAACTATTGGAATTGGCGTAAATGCATGCTTCCTCACGCACCTAACTCAACATGAAAGCAGCGAGGTGACAAGCTAATGTGATTTGTAGTTTGTATTTGATAAATTGGCTCTGATCATAATTGTCATCTTTTGCGATATTGGTACAAAGTCCCTTTTATTAAATTGAATGCTATCATTGAAGATGATTTTTCTGAGTGAACCATTGTGCATATTCTCGTTGTAGAACATATATAATCATAATTATTGAGTTATCAACTTCCTTACCTCCACAGCTATTCTCTGCCATCAACTTTTGAAGGACACTTGGGAGTTAGGGGCTGCCCCAGAATGCTGTTAGCGATTTTATAGAACTCTGGTCGGAGATCTGAATAGCGATTCAGTTTTTTCGAAAAAATAAAAATAAAAAGGGGTGCCCCCTGTCCCCCCGGGGGGGTGGTCAAGGCCTCCGGTATCTGAACCCTTTATAAAGGCGCCTTGATATGGATAGATGGATAGATATATTTTTTTGTAGAAAAAGCATTGATACTGAACTACTAGGAATCCTCGTGTTGATAGTGATGTTGCCCATGCTACCCCTCTTAGTGCCACTTCCAGATCAATCTCAAGCCAAATAGCCTATTGATGAGGGTGACGTGCACATTGTTCTTTTTTTGACTCCAAACCCACCAAAAACTAAGAGCTCAAAAATCCAAAAGCATGTGCTAATGATACTGAGCCATCAGAGCTTTTTGAATTTCCTACACCCAATCTTTTCCGCCGCAAAACCCCCAGGACCATCAAGCAGGAAAAAAATCTTTGAGCTTTCTGTTAGGCTGGAACTTATATTTGGTTATAAAACTGTAGATGGGAAACATAACATTGCCACTTATTTTTATCTATAATATGTTTTCCCCCATTTCATTTTATAGTCCCGCAGGGGTTCATCACTAGTTCCTTTTGATATCCAGTGAAGTCAACAAAATCAGTTTCCAGGTGCGATTCTGTAAAAGGATACACAACCACGCACTAAATATTTATATTTAATTTAACGAGAATGACTCATTCCAAACCTAAAACTCCAGAGGCAGTCTGGTTTAAGCTTCTTTTCAGTCCCGAGTTTTTGGACTTGGAAAGAGGGCTCGAGGTTTCCTTGAACGCTGACGGGCAGAAATCACTTACACCACATTCTCCACAGTGAGGTCGGCGAGGCGTACAAATTGTCTGCCCAAAACCTACCTGATGATGTTCAAGCCAGAAAGAGCATGAGTACATGATGAATGTGCACATTATAATAGAGTTATATGATTAATGGTTCTACAAGATGCCAGAAAGGATTTAAATAAAGCCGCGGTAACAAGACAGACATCCAACAAAACCACACTAAGGTTACTAACTCTTCGGGAAGACACCTGCGATCCACTTGCTGCAGATAACAGACAACGTTCCTTAAGCCACAAATCTAATGTTTGTTGAACCTCCCATTACTCTATTCCTCATAATTTCAATTATAATCTTCAAATCACTAGTCATAAATCGGATCAAATCATAGATTCATCGATAAAATTAAAATACATTAAAATGTATAATATACTATATGTGTAAATCACCAATAAGGTGTTTGATTTTGGTGCTCATTAAGATGTGCACCGCAAGGTCATCAGGCAAAACCATGTCTCTCTCATGATGCTCTGTTAGCAGACTTGGGTTCTGATCAAATGAATAGAATGAACAACAAATTTCTAAATTCAGAAGGATTAAGTCTTTCCAAGCAGCACAAATGAAACAATGGGTAGAATAAGATTCAGTTTTTGATATAGTTGTTTTCATTGCTTTGTTTATACAAGTGGACTTCGTTGGACTCCGCAAAGCCAACCAACTAGTGTTTGCTTGAATAGCATGTTTTATTTGGTTTCTACAGAAGATGCTGAAATACTGCACGAAAAGAAAAGGAAAAAGAGAGAGAGCAATGCCAAAAAGTTTACACCAACCTCCAGAAGCTTTCCAACTTTAAAAGTGGTTTCTAGAGACAAGTGTTTCCGGGCAAACCTATCCTCCAAAATTGCAGCAAGACCAGCAATGAAAGAGGTGAAATGGTGCGCTTCAGAAGCTGAAATTGCTAATGTTATGTTTCGAAACACATGAATTTAGATTTGGATTTGAATTTGAGCCAAATTCATTGTTTGGATAATTAAACATGTATGGATTTGGATTTGACCTAAATCCAAATCCAAGTTCTCCCTTAATTTCTTTGTAATTTGAAATCCTTATCATTTCAAATCTTAACTCAAGCTCTTTTGCAATTTGACCCAAATAAATGAAAGTTTAATTGACTTGCTAACGGTAATTAGACCAAACCACCAAAGTTGACGGAAACAAGCTGCCACCATTAACCAAAACAGGACGGTTGACTTTCACTAGCACAGGACCGACGTCGACGACCGGGATCGGACGGCCCACTTCTACCGGCACCAGACCAATGGCAACGACGGGGACCGGGGGGTCGACTTTCACTGGCATCGGACTGACGGTGACCACCAGGATCGAACGAAAGACTTCCACTGGCACCGGATTGATGGCGATGCGGTGACCGAACGGCTGACTTCAACCAGCATCGGATTGATGGCGACGACAGGGATAGAACAGGCCACTTCCATCGGCACCAAACTGATAGTGACCAAACAATCAACCTCCACTGCCATTGAACCAATGGCGATGACTGGAATTGAACGGTCACTTTTAATTAGGACCTAACTGACGGTGGTGACAAGGACTAGACGGCAGACTTCCACCAACACCAAACCTACGGCAACAACCGAGACTAAACTAACGAGGATGACGAGGACCGAACAGTTGACTTCTACCAGGATCAGACCAACGGCTATGATAGAGACCAGACTGACAGCGATGATAGGAATCGAATGGTCGACTTCCACCAGCACCGAACTGATGGCAATGACGGAAATCGGATGATGGTTGACTTCCACCAGGACGGCACCTACAGCGATAATGAGGACCGAAAGTCCAACTTCCACCAGGTGAGGACCGGACGGTCACCTTCTGTTGCCATCTCTTCAGTTTGGTTGTCGTTGCCATCATTGATCCAGTTTGGTGCCGGTAGAAGCCGGCCGTTCGGTCCCTATCGTCGGCGTTGGTTTGGTCTTAGTAGAAGTTGGCCTTGCTATCCCCATCATCGATGTGGATCCAATCTCGGAGGAATTCAATCGGTTAGTCCACGTCGTCAACATCGGTCCAATCCTGGTGGAAGTCAGCCGTCCAGTGCCCATCGTTGTCGATCCAATCATGGTAGAAGTCAGCTGTCCAGTGCTTGTTGTAGACGTCAATCTGGTCTTGGTGAAAGTTGGCCGTCCTGTCCCCAGTGTCAGTATTGGTTCAATCCTAGCGGAAGTCGGCCGTTCGGTGCCCATCATCGTCGTTGATTTGATCTCGGTAGGAGTCGACTGTCCAATGCCTATTGTAGTCATCGGTCCAGTCCAGGTAAAAGTCGATCGTCCGGTCCCCGTCGTCACCGCCGATTCGATATTGGTGGCAGTCGGTCATCTAGTCCCCGCGATAGCTGTTGGTCAGATCCTAGTGGAAGTTGGCCATCTGGTCCCTGTTGTCATCGTCGGTCTAGTCCTGATGGAATTCGACCATCCGATCCCCATCATCATCGTTGATCCGGTCCCAGTGAAAGTCAACCATTCCGTCCCCATTGTTGTGACGATTTGGTCTCGATGGAAGTCAGAGGCTCCGTCTCGACCGTCACCGATGCCTTAGTGCTAGTCAGCTTTGTTTGTCTGATCCTATTGGAAGTTAGCTATTTGAATCGTCAAGTTTAACTAATCTTCCAAGTTTCTTTTAAATTCAAATATAGAATTTAAAATTTAAATTTTACTTTAGACCTAAACAAATTATTTTAATATTATAATTTGAAATTTTTTAATAGGGGAATTTAGAATTTATAAATCTCAAATGTAAGATTTCAAATATTAAATTTTAAATCCAAATTCTCAACTTAAATCCATCCATTCAAACATAATTTAACTAATTGTGAGAGAGGGGGAGAGGGAAGGAGAGAGTGAGGAAGGTGATTTCCAAAACACCCAAAAAAATAATAATAATAATAATAAGAGAAGCATCATGGATTTTAGAAGGTGAAGCGACATAGCTTACTTAGCCTAATAAGCACACGATGCTCATCTCCCTCATGAGCCTTAAAGCCAAAGGCACCTACATGTTGTATATTGCAAGCAATATCCAAACACAAAATTTCTTGGCTTTCAATTTAGGATGCATGGCAAGTGATAATGACTGAAAAGATTCAGAAATTAAACTTAAAGAATGCAAAAGTCGAGAGATAAGACCAAACTGAAGCTTGAAACTTCAGAGAAGAAGGCATTAGCAGGTTTGCTTGCTATGAAAGTTTGCATAATGCAAAGGGAAGAAGCAACACAGCAGTCCTTATGTTGGGAGGGAGAGTGTTACACGTTATGCTATTTTATAGTTATTTGATGGCTTTATTGTCTTTATGCTGATAGGTTATTATTGTCGTTTCATATATTTCTGCATTATAGATTAGTTATCGACAGTATAGGACCTTACCTTTTGGGACACATGTCTAGGTTTAGGGTATATCTTGTATCCTACGTCCTTGGCACATTTTTGTGAATGAAATCAGTCTCTTCTCTCCCTTCTTCTCTCTTCCCTTAACATTTTGGTATCAGAGCCGTCTCTCCAGCCATGGCTCCACCGAAGACTCGGTCCTCTACTGAACATGTGGGCGACCTTGAGCATTGACTAGAGATGCAATCTGCATTGGTGGCTAGCACTCAGCTTGCTGTGGACAAACACACACAGGAAATATCCGACATGCGGCTAACCATAAACCAGTTTTCTACCCAGCTTAATGACATTAATGCCAAGCTTTCCATGATTATTAATCAACTTTCACGTTCTGCTAACCTTGAAGCCGGTGAACCTTCCCAAGCTCCCACCGCGACAAATACACCACCTAGACCGGCAGCTTCGGCCTTTCTCCTACCAATCACCACCACCCTCATTTCCTAGACTAACCACGTCCTCCGCAACAACTCCTCCTCCTCCCTATCAACCCCACCTCCTCAGTTTGGTTCGTTTCAAGGACTTATCCCCACCTCTCAACCTTCTTACTCTGTTCCAACCAAGCATAGCAGAGTAGAGTTTCTGAAATTTGATGGTACCGATTTTAGAGGATGGGCTTATCAGTGTTGCCAATTTTTTAAGGTGGACGAAACACCTGTCGAGCATCGCATCCGTCTTAATATTCATTTAGAGAAACGCACCTTGCGCTGGCATCTTGCTTTTGTAAAACAGAGGCGTTTGTCGAACCTCTCTTGGGATGAATATTTTCATGAGATGGAAGCTAAGTTTGGGGATATTAAGGATGAAAACCCCATGATTGCTATTAAGAAGCTCCAGATGCAAGAGTCTGTGGAAAAGTATGAAGAGAAATTTGATGAGTTACTCACCAAAGTCGACTTATCTGAAGTTGCTGCCATGAATTGTTATATAGGTGGCCTTAGGAGTGATGTGCAGCAGAGTGTTCTTAGTCCACAACCTACCTCTTTGGCCAGTGCGATGAAAATGGCGAGGCGTCTGGTTGCAACCATTAAGGCGATTCATGAGGATGCTCCCCCCTCAGCGCTGCGTAAGCCTTTTCACGCCTCCTCTGCGTTTTCCGCATCAGCTACTTCTCAATTTTTGCCTTCTTCTCTATCGGGCCACAAGACCGAACCGAACCCCAACCCCCTTCCGTCTACAAGCCCTACTGTTGATAAGCCCAAATCATTCAACTCCACTAGTATGTCCAGTTCAGCGTCGTCCAGACCCACTAAGCAGCTTTCCAAGCGAGAGATGGACGAACGACGTCGCAAGGGGCTCTGTTATTGGTGTAATGAAAAGTATAGCAGCACCCATAGATGTCGAGATTCCCATCTCTTCGCCCTCATTGTCGAAGATGATGCAGAACTCTTTGAGGATGCATTAGAAGAGATCGGGCCTCTACCCTCTACCGGAACAGTGAATGCGATTGAGGGCAGAGAAGGCACGTCTACACTACATCTCGCTGGCCGCATAAAATGTCAGAGCATCGTTATCCTAATTGACACGGGAAGCACGCATAATGTCTTAGATTCAAGGGTAGCTAAACGGCTTAAATTGAAGGTTCAAGAACGGGATGGCATTCGAATTACTGTTGCGGATAATCGGCAGCTGTTAGTATCCAAATGCTGTTCGAATCTGGAATGGGAAATGGGAGCTTCTTTCTTTTCTTCTGATTTTATAATCATGAAGGTTGGGGCATTCGATATGATTATGGGTACTCAATGGCTCAAAACCTTAGGCTGTTTCTCCATGGTCATGGCAGAGCATCTATTTGAATTTCATCAGAATGGTCAATTAATTACACTAAAGGGGATGAGCTACAGAATACTGAAGCCCATTATGCACATGATTCTCTTTGATGGTGATAAAACCATGGCTGATCATCTCTACCTCATTCATATTCCTCAACACTTGCAGGTGCAGTTACCTTGCAACTCTTCTCTTTCTTTTGACCAGCAAAACCAATTGCACAATTTACTCGACTCCTTCACTGATATTTTTGCTGAGCCCACTACCTTGCCACCTTCTCGTTCTTTTGACCACTCCATTCCCCTTAAAGTGGACCACCCTGTGAGTTGTAGACCTTACCGATATGGACCTGTTCAAAAATTTGAGATTGAACAGCAAGTCCAGCAGATGCTTGATAATGGAATCATACGAGAAAGCAATAGTTCTTTTGCAGCCCCTGTTATTCTAGTGCAGAAAAAAGATGGCACATGGCATTTCTGTGTTGATTATAAAAGATTAAATGAAGCCACTGTTAAGAACAAATTTCCTATTCCAATTATTGAGGAGCTGTTGGACGAACTTACTGGAGCATAGTTTTTCTCTAAGCTGGATTTAAGAGCTGATTACCACCAGATTCGAATGAATGAATCTGATATTGCTAAAACAGCCTTCCGCACACATGAAGGCTTATATGAATTCACTAATGCGCCCGCTACTTTTCAAAGCCTTATGAATTCCGTTTTCAAACCTTTCTTGCGGAAGTTTATCCTAGTTTTCTTTGATGATATCTTGGTTTATAGCAAACAGTGGGCAGCCCACTTGGAGCACTTGAGAGTAACCTTATCACTCTTGCAACAGCATCAACTTTTTGCTAAAGTCTCTAAATGCATTTTTGCAGCAACACAGATTGATTATCTTGGTCATGTCATCACAGTTGATGGGGTTTAGGCAGACCCGAAGAAACTAGAGGCCGTAGCTTCTTGGCCGATCCCTTCTTCCATTAAAGCACTACGAGGCTTCCTCGGTCTTACGGGTTACTATCGACGCTTTGTCAAAGGATATGGCTCTATCAGCGGTCCCCTAACTGAGTTATTAAAGAAAAATGAGCCCTTCGTTTGGTCTTCTAAGGCTCAATCAGCTTTTGAATCTCTCAAGGCTTCCATGACTTCCCCGCCGGTGCTTGCTCTTCCCAATTTTAATGAGACCTTTGTGATCGAAACTGATGCTTCAAGGCATGGATTGGGCGCAATATTATCCCAAAATGGCCATCCTTTGGCTTTTGCTAGTAAGGCACTTTCTTACCGTAAGAAACAATTGTTTGCGTATGAGCGTGAATTGTTGGCCATTGTTTTTGCTGTCAAGCAGTGGCGTTCTTATCTTTGGGGACGCAAATTCATCATCCGCACTGACCATTTACCTTTGAAGCATCTCTTGGAGCAACGTGACTTGAGTCAAGAGCAGTGTAAGTGATTGCATAAACTTTGGGGGCTCGACTATGAAATCGTTTACCGCAAAGGATGTGATAACGCTACAGCTGATGCATTATCTAGGCATTCCGAAGGGGACTATTTGGCCATTTCAATGCCAATCTCTCCATTATATGAGAGGGTACGCGATTCTTGGCTTCTTGATGACCATTTATAGCAGCTGATTAGAAGTCTGGAAACTAATCCCTTTTCTCATCCTAAGTACACTTGGGAACACCAATTGTTGAAACGAAAGGGTAAGCTGGTGGTGGGTGCTGATCGAGGTCTTCGGGAGTCTTTACTTCAATTTTTTCATGCTGATGGCATTGGGGGCCATTCAGGTATGACTCCCACCTACAAACGGCTTACCTCTTTTTTTTATTGGAAAGGAATGGAAAAGGATGTTCGCAATTTTGTACGTCAATGCACTACATGTCAGCGCTTTAAACCAGAATTAATTGCCTCCCCTGGTCTTCTCCAACCTTTACCTATTCCGGAACATATTTGGTCCGAGCTCTCAATGTACTTTATTAGTGGCCTTCCCAAATCTTATTCTAAGACTACTATTTTAGTTGTTGTTGATCGTTTATCTAAGGCTGCTCATGTCATGGCTCTCAAGCACCCATTTACTGCTGTAGATGTGGCCAATATCTTCATGGATAATGTGGTTAAGTTGCATGGGTTTCCTAAGTCTATAGTTTCAGACCGGGATCCTATTTTCTGTGGGAAATTCTGGAAGGAACTCGCAAGGCTGTATGGGGTCAAATTACAATTTTCTTCAGCATACCACCCCCAAACGAATGGCCAAACCGAGGTACTCAACCGCTGTTTGGAGTGTTACCTCCGTTGCATGTCGGGAGATTTTCCTAAACAGTGGGTTAAGTGGCTGCCACTTGCTGAATTATGGTACAATACTACCTTCCACTCTTCCATTGGTATGTCTCCCTTTGAAGCTGTTTATGGGGTGCCTCCTCCCACTCATCTGCCTTACATTGCTGGTGATTCATCTAATGAAATGGTTGATAGAACTTGCAATTCACGAGAGCTTACTATTCAGCTTTTGAAACAACACCTATTGAAGGCTCAACATAGGATGATTCAACAAGCTAATAAGCACCGGTCTGAGTGAAAATTTGTTGAAGGAGACATGGTTTTTCTCAAACTACACCCTTTTAAGAAGAATCTCTTAAACAACTCTTCCTTGCATAAGCTAGCTGCTCGTTCCTTTGGCCCATTCAAGGTGTTAGGGCGTCTTGGGGAAGTTGCATATGAACTGGACCTTCCTCCTCACACTAAGGTCCACCCAGTTTTTCATGTTTCCATGTTAAAAAAATATGTTAGCACGGCTGTCCCCACTACCCCCACCTTACCCCCGGTGGATGATCATGGTCAATTTATGCTGGAACTAGAGGAATTACTGGATAGAAAAATCATTAAGCGCCATAATCTACCAGTGACTCAAGTGTTGGTTCGCTGGAAATTTTCTCAACCTGAAGACGCTACTTGGGAAGATCTTTCAACCATAAAACAGCAGTTCCCTCACTTTAAGACAGATGCTCCAGCTTCTACCACTATCCTTGTGGACAAGGATGTTTTTTTGGGGGGGGAGTATTGTTACACGTTATGCTATTTTATAGTTATCTGATGCCTTTATTGTCTTTATGCTGATAGGTTATTATTGTCTTTTCATATATTTCTGCATTACAGATTACTTATCGACAGTATAGGACCTTACCTTTTGGGACACGTGTCTAGGTTTAGCGTATATCTTGTATCCTACGTCCTTGGCACATTTTTATGAATGAAATCAGTCTCATCTCTCCCTTCTTGTCTCTTCCCTTAACAGAGAGTGGGGAACTGAAATTGTTTATCACACAAATCTTCTTTATGTACTAGAATACTAACATAGATTATCAATCACACCATCCAGAATGTTCAAAATTTGTTTTCTTTTTCAGAAAACAGATTCAGCCTAGTTTAGCAGCTCTGTGGCATGGTCATAATGAACCTGACACTGACAATGCAACCTGTGTAAAATCACAGAATTCTTTGATTCTTGCTATGATTCGTGCACACAGACATCATATGAGTAATGCGATTCAATTCATGAATTGCTTGATATTGATTATCATGATTTCAATAGTCATAACCAAAATAAATGCAATCTCTGATTACACATGAATCTCACCCAGCATATGAAGCTTATGTACTCAGCAAGGTTGTCATCACGGATATAAAGTAAAATAAAATAAAATGATTGAGCTGAGCATACCAAAAGAGGATTTATTGGGACCCATTCTTCCTTGGGAAGCCATCGTTGCAGTGCCTCTCTTGTTTCTTCAGGTGTCAAAGTTTTCTGGCAAAGAAGAGCAAACCACTTGAAGAGTTATTCTCTTTATGCCAACTAACGCAGATTTTTATATGAAGCGAATTCCAGACATGATGATACATCATATAGATGTCCTCCCTTAGTTCTTTTTTATAATACAAAATTTTGAAGGTTTTGGCATTCCTATTTATAAGACATTTTGCAAAATCTTAGGAGTACTTAATTTCTAAAATAACCCTTAAAATTATTAAAAAGACTTGCCCCATCTACCAAATAAATGAGCTGTGTTTACTATGCATAGAAAGTTGGAGATGATAGAGTAAGGAACATTATCAATTTTACTGATGTAAACCAATTTTAACTGTTTTCTAGGTTTGTGTAAAGAGAGTAATTTTATCTTATAGAAAGGAACAGAAGAAGTAATATACTTTAATATCAATCATTTCATCCTCTAAATACACATGTTGATTGTACAAAATATGCATCGATGATAATCATAGAAAATTATTTTCAGTTGCTTTTTCAAAGCTTTTAAGAATCCCAACTGTCATAATGTTGGGCGATAACATGAATAATAATGTGATCGTGCTAAATAATACAGTTAACTTATTATCTGGAATTAGCTCAAACAACATTTTGTTAATTCCCCAGAGCCTGTAAATTGGAAAAACTTGATGGGTATGTCAAAAGTGAGTCTATCAAATTTGAGAGGAACCTGTTTCGTGCCTAATCTTGAAACCCATCCAAGCCGATTGCAGATGCGGTGGACATGAGTATCTACACATATCCCTTGAACATTGTTCCATCCAACATTCATAACCTGTGGTATCACTCACACGATGAACTTCAAAAAGCCAAGGCAAAATGCTGTTTGAAAAAGAAAAGTAATTAGACATACCAAATGAGCCATCTTAGGACCTATGCCTGGAAGTGAGAGTAGTTCTTCTATTGAGCTAGGTATGTCCCCATTATACTTCGTGAGGCAAATATTTGCAATTTTTTTCAAGTTAATGGATTTTCTTGTATAAAATCCAACCTAAGGAAAAAAGTAAAAAAAAAAAAAAAAAAAACCCAAAAGCACAAGGTTAACAGATGCAGAGCAAAACAGGCAATAACAACAGAAGAAACCAGCATCATAACATCATAATTATGGAATACTCAAAGCTTTGGGGTAATGCCTTCAAAAACCAACCAAAGAACATACTGGGTAAATGAGCTTTTTGATGGTTTCTTCATCAGCTTTATCAAGTCCATCAGCCGAAAGCAAACCATTTTGAAGAAGACGTTGAATTGCTCCTACTCTTAAGAAAAACATACTCATAACTAGAAATGTTTCACAAGCAAGTTGCAAAATGGAATACTCTTGAACAAACCAAGTATTAATCGCATATATGAAGACAGGCAGTAAACAAAACTTGGAAGGCCCGAAGTACAAGGGTAGAGCAAATATGGTTACATTGGCAATTACCAGCAACATATTCATCTTCAGAGTTCAGTCAGCTATATCATGAAATATGGTAAGTATCATATTTTTATTACACTTCCACCCTTCATTACTCATTTTTTTCTTTCTCCTCATCTTGTAATATAAGCATTCTTTTTTCTCACCTCAACCGATTTGTTGGTTTCAAGACCTTCGGATTTATCTTATACTTCAGCATGGTTGAGTAGGTTGATTACAAGTCTACAAGATCTTAACAATCCCACATTTCAGGCACATATTAGTCACAATCTACTATCCTTACAATCTACACGTCTCCTTAACTGCTCATCTCACATGGATATCAATGTAATTCAGTTTCTCTTCGTTTGCAATCTTAATATCAGAAAAAGTTTTGCTCTGTTCAGATAATTAATAATTCTTCTATCAAATGCTGATGCAGCTAATCCTATACTTGCTATGAGACATCAGTTCTATCTAGGTTTATTAACGGAGATATGCCAGTGGGTCTTAGAATACAACTACACATGCTACTACTAAAAGTTAAGAGTACATAGACAAACAAAATATTTCGCCATACACTTCAACAAGAAATGTACTTACCATGAGTAACGTGATCCTTAGTTTGGCTTGACAAAAGGGAAGATGCCAAGACAGCAAATCTCCTCTCCTAATTATACATATGCAGAACTTTAAATAAGAAAAAATCTACCCATATTATGAATTAAAAATACAGAACTTCAAGGAAATACAAATATCCTATAATTAGAATAATTATTAACTCATCAAGAATGTCATCTTATGATAAATTTACTAAACGAAAGGCCCTATTACAAGGCAACCTGGTCTGGTCCAAGCCGTGAAAGATAAAACTCAGAAGCATCAATAGCAATGCATACAATCCTACTGCATGAAAAATGTAAATCCCAGACTATAACAGAAGACAGCAATAAAAGTCGAAGTTAGTTTGCCCATTTCTATCTGTTCATTCAATGAACATAGAATCCCTTTTAAGAGAAGGTTCCGATGCCAAAAACCAAAACACGAATTTTTATTTCTTTCTCCCACATAGTATTTTGTCAGCAGTAGGATAAAGAATTAGACCTTGGAAGAAAGAGTTTCGCCAGCTTTTTCGCATCCCATAGTGTCTACTGGAGCATCTGCGGAACATCTCATTTTGCGAATCCCTTCCAGCACCATTTTCCAGTTAGTAGGTGATTCATCTGCATCATATTTAGTGCAAATTTTAAACTTCCTCAACTAGGGTCTCCATGCCATCACAGCAAGGAAATTATTATCAATTCCATAAATGTATGATAAAATTGCAGAAAAACAGAAATGTTTTTTTTTTTTAATTCATCAAAGAAATTTGAAGTAATCTTACTAGGAGACTCATTTGCTCCTTTATATGCAAATTCTTCGATTTCAGGTAAACCAAGCTCCTGCTCGGGAAAAGGTTACAATTTACATCATCAGATGATATTCTCGGTAGATGGAAGTTAAAGGAAATACATTTTAAGCGAAAGCGTAGACAAAAGCACACAAGTGAGACTGCCAACAGTCCGTAATGTGATATATAAAATTATCGCAGTAACATGGAACAAGAACGCAATGTTGATATACAAAACAGACAATAATAAACTTATGCGGCGAAAAGTAATAAATAAGTTCTCACCTCCTGGTGTTGAGTCATGGCCACATGCTCCTTTTCATGAACTTTCACGGCCTTTTTGGCTCTCTTTCTCCTGGCAAAGACACGAACTTGGGACGCTGAAGCCACCTTCGAGGACTGGGAAACTTGAAAAACAAAAGAAGAGAAAAGAGGAGTGAGCTTTTGAAAATCAAGGTAAAAAGGCAACATGAAGAATTATAAATACTTTGGGACCGCGGGGGAATGGGAAGAATGGTTTTGGAAGGAAGCGCTTTGGAAAAGCATCTAGTTGTAGCAGAGGCAGACATGATAAGGAATGTGATTCGTCCAATACCAGGTCAAGAATCACGGACAGTGCCGAGCAAAGCACCCAAGATTAAGCCCTGTTTGGAGCATAAGTGTCAACTAAGAAGGACTGAAATTCGAATTGGAATTGAGACTGAAATTAACGCCCTTGGGCACAGCTTCAATTTAGAAAGATTAGGATTAAGACTGATGTTGGTATTAGTAGTAAAAGTAGCAACGAGAATTTAAAATTATATTTAATATGAAGTAATATGTGTAAGGAAAACTTATTTTTATTTTATTTTATAATTAAACATAAATTATGAAAAGACTATAATACTCCTTACACTTAATAAAAAATTAACCTAGCTTGTGAGGTTTGGAAGCAATCAAATGTGGCAGATCACCATGGCAGCATAGCTTCAATTTCAAGTTCGAACACGACAGATCTAGAAGAAGTCGACAACGTCTCTAATTTTGATCTTTCCTCTTCCTTCATCTCCTTCGTCGTTGTTCTCATCTCTCTGACTTTGATTTTTGCTCCTTCACCTGCATCTCTTCCTCCCCTGCAATTTCCTGCTTTACCTCCTCAGAACAAATCAAAGCGTTAAGGCAGCATACAGATCAGAGCTTGAAAAGAGAATTTCATGGCAGCTGGACGGAGCATAAAGATCGGAACGTACGGATGAGAGCTTGTGATTATGTTGCACGAAGAGAAGAGACGCGAGAGAGAGAGATAGGTAAGGGCAATTTGGTTCAAATATTTTTAGCCTTAGGAATGATTTTGCAAACCCAGGAGGTGGGTGGTATTGATTAATTACATGTAAGGAGGGATTGGGATTGGGTTTAGATTACTCAATGATTCATACCGAACATAAAAAGTTAGGTTTTCTTAGTCCCAATACCAGTGCCTAGATTTTAGTCCAATGTACTAAACAAGGCCTAAGAGTGGGAATGAGGCTTTAAAATTATGTCTAGTATGAAGTAATATTTAAAGGGAATACTTATCTTTATTTTATTTTACAACTAAACATAAATAATGAAAAGACTATAATGCCCTTAAAGTAATTAAAAGAAAAATCTATAACCTATAGCCTGTAACTCATCTCATGCACGATCAATTTCCTTCCCCCTAGAGAGCACAGCAACGGCGCAAACGACCACTCTTCTTCTTATTGCTATTCCTTTTCTGGTTTTTCATTGTCTCATTTTATGGAGATCAAAGGACAATAAGATCGATGAGACTAAAGATGAAGCTACTGATGCACGCTAGTCTGATTGGTGCAAAAGACCTTCCTTTTCTCTCTTTCTGGACCGGCGATATAGATCAACTTGGTAAGACCTTCCTCTTCTCTTTTTCTAGTCACCGACAATTTACGCTTAAACTCATCATCATCATTACGTTACTCATCATTGCTGTTCTTCTTCTTCCTGGTTCAAGCGTTGGTGTTGTGCCTGTGTGTGGCTACCATTATCATTGCCATCGTTGTTGTGATTGTGAGGAGGGGTGGAGGCTAGAGGGTGAAGGGTGAAGGGAGAGCCAAGAGAGAGCGAGTAGGTAAAAGGAGAAAGGGTGGAGGGCATTTTGGTTAAAAAAATAATTAGTCCTAAGATTAATTTTTCAATATAAGAGGGTAGGTGGTATTGAGTAATCTCATCTTAGTAGGATTGAGATTGGAATTGGGATTAAATTTCCCATTATCCCATGCCAAACATAAAAAAGTGGGATTACTCAAAACCAATTCTAATATCACCTTATCAATGCTTTGTATCAAACAGGCCCTAAGGAGCTAAGCCTAGAGAATTAGAATCCAACCATCTTAATAGGGTCATCTAATATTGGAAAAGTTAATCTTTAAATCCTTATAATTTTACATGATTTAAAATTAGATCTTTTTAGTTTATTTTATTTTGATCAAGCCCTATAATGTGATCAATTAAATATGTTACTCCTTGATTGTTAAAATACTTTAATTTTCTCTTTAGAAAAATGAAATTAATTACTTCTATATGTTTATTAAAAGATTACATAATTTTAGAATAAATTTTACAATTTTTATAATTCAAAGTTTATATAATTAGGTTATGTTTTCTCAATAACTTTTTAGGAGATTTGTTGAAAAATACCTCTTTAAAAGACAAATCATGCCCTAGAACTAAAACAAATTAAAGGACCAAGCTACATATTTTATTCATTAAATAATATGATCAAATGACTAAAAATGTCCTCTTGTGTTTAATTAAAAAAATTAAAAAAAGGCACAAAATCTAGCCACCAGAGCTTCAACCCCTCCTCCAATAAGTGACAGTGCACCTACGTGAGCTCTAACTGGTTGGTGAAGGGTCGTCAGAAAAAGTCATTTCCCTTTGATTACATATAATTATCAAATATTGCATGTAAACTCAATAATTAAAGAGTGTAAGGATTTTAGCCTAGGGTGTAAGGGCTTTAGATTGAGTGTAGATGGTTTGGCTTGGGTGCAGGTGATTTGGCTTGAGGTGTAGGCATTTTGGCTTGGGTACAAATGTTTTGGCTTTGTGGTTGATTTGGGGTGTAATGGTTCTAGCTTGCGTGTAAGTGGTTTGGCTTCAGTATAAGGTTTCTAATTTGGGATACGAGGGTTCTGGCTTAGATGTAGGGCTTTAGGCCTCGGTGCAAAGTTTTTAGTTTAAGGTGTAAGGCTTCTGGCTTATGGTGTAAGTTGCAGAGCATGTGTTATACCAACATGAATTACATGTAACCCATAATCATTTACATGTAATTTAAGAGAATTAACAGTGGCATGCTCTTTATGTATGTCCTTTTTACATGTAATCTGTTGAATATTATATGTAAATTATCCATAGAAATGCTCACAAATTTCTTTATATATTGAATTACATATAATTCGCAATTGTTTACGTGTAATTCAAGGGCACTAACAATGGCCTGCTCTCTATGCACTTGCTTTGGATGTAATCTGCTAAATATTACATGTAATTTTTGCTCAAGCATATTCACGAATCTCTTCATCTGTGGAATTACATGTAATCAGTAGTCGTTTACATGTAATTCAGTAGTATTGACAGTGGCCTGCTCTCTGTGTGTTTTTTTACATGTCATCCTTTAGATATTACATGTAAATTTTTGCATACTAATTTACATGTACTTTCTATGTTCAAATTATATGTAACTATTTATAATTATCATGAAATCTAAAGTCGATGTCATAAGCATGCATTATGTTTGTTAAAATTACATGTAATTATAGATACTCCTCCCGTTCAAAAATGTAAGGCATTTTTAACCAAATCTTACCCCCAATAAAGTAGTTATTTACTTTCAAACCAACTCTATCTTTTCATATTTATCTTTATTAAACTCCCTATAATAAATATAAAGTCATTATCAATAGGGGCACTTTTGAAAAAAAAAGGTAATGATTACATCTCGAAAGACTAAAAATGCCTTATATTTTTAAATATCTAACTCTTCAAAGGATGCTTTACATTTTTAAACGAAAGGAGTAATTATTATGTGATTGTTTATAATTACATATAATCATTGATAGTTATCATGAAATAATATTGGGAACACTCACAACAAGTTCCCTCTTTTTTAAGTATTATATATTATATAGCAAGTCTTATTAACTTGTAAATGACGCAAATTCAATAGTGCAACATTAAGGATAGCTAAATTACCCTTGAAAAACAAGTAAATGTGAAAAGAGAAAATGAACAACAATAATTTCAATAAAAGAATATTAATTCCCATAGTTTTAGTTTATCTTCTCACCAATTACAAACAAAACCATAAACAAAGAACATGTTAAAAAATATACCATAAGAGGTAAGAACAACATTATTCCCATATTAAACTACATCATACCCTATCTAAAACCTTATCATTTATTGTATCCAAAATATTATAATTGAAATGAAAATTGGCAGCCATTATAAGCAGGCCATTCAAACATTAATATACAACACTTACAAAATTATAACTAGCTTCTTATGCAATGCAGGTTCATCACAACTTCTTTTTTTATAGCCCCTGAAAGAGTTAGTGAAGAGTTAATTTCCTAATAAAAGAATGGATGTCATACGAGAATTTTTTAGCTCATATTAATATAGATTTATAACTGAGGAAAGTGTGAACTTTATATTATGAGGCTACCTGAGTAGATTGATAATGCACTTAATAGAATTGAAAAACAAACAAATTAAGTTGAAACAAACCAAAAACTAGCCCCAACTATAATGTTCTCCTTATTATCTAGGCACTTAGTCAAAATCTCCATTATCAATATGGATTAAACAATACAATTGCTAAGTCATGGTTGTAGACTTTAATCAATTATCAAAGTATTAACCATAATATAAAGGAAAAGACAAATCAAAAGTCTACTATGGCTTAAAAGGTTTTAAAATAAGTATTAGAATATTCACTTCACAATCAAATAATAACTTCATTTGAAAATCTAAACATTTAAGAGTTAGGATCCCAAGTTTAATAATTTGAACTTTGAAATCAAATATAACTAATTTAAAACAGAGTAGAAACACATATAAAAGCATGAAAGTTATAACATCCTTGAAATTAAAAGCTGATTACTTAAGCTTGATAAGGGTAATTAAGTGAATTAACGTGATGTATGGCCAGAGAGGTCTAATTTGTGTAAATGATTATGAGCCTCGAAATCATCCAACAACCATATTAATTATAATATTAGCATGAAAATAACTCCTCCCAACTAACTATTAACAAAATCATTAATGTATAATTTAAATACTTTAAACTGCTCTCCTTATATCCATTTTAGTCAATGAATTCGGACCCACAGCTCCTATGGATAGAAAATTATTCTCTCAACTCAAACTCAAACTCAAATCCTCATGAATATGGTAGAGAAAGGAAGTAAAGGCATAAATTACTTACCTTAAGCATTTGAAAGCCTCTAAATGTCTTCAAGGGTCCCCAATGGATGTGCCTAACATAGCCAAGTCGTGCTCTTATGTTTTCTCCTATTCTTTTCTCTATATTCTCATGCAGACTCACGAACCATATTTATTTGATTTTTGGCCATGTGCCACAACATACGTAGCCTTTTGCCGTGACGCATGACACAAAAAAGCTCAATCACGTTAATTTTGTCTCTATGTGTCGTAACGGATTGTCCGCACATTGCGCATTTGGCATAGAGTATTTCTTCACCTTTTGCACTTCTTTCTTTGCCCGGATGGCCCGACTTCACTTCAGACCCATATCTAGGGTTGAAATTATAATTTAAACCCCTCTGGTTATACACCTCTTTAACTCACTAATCGCACTCATTAAGCTAAGTAACCATGTTTAATTTTTCCTAGATGTTATAGTGTCAACAAGTTTCTTTGTTGAATTAACAAATAATATTATTAACAAGTTTGCTTACTCTTATTTTGGAAGTTTGGGTCATGCTATATATTATATTTGACATTATATAACTAAGATGCACCATTCATTTAGTGGTTATTAAACTTTTGGTGTACCAAGAGGTCTTGGGTTTAAACCCTTGGTCGCCTTTAAGGAATTAATTTAGCTTATATGGGACTTATGATAGTACCACCCTATTAAGAGTCAACGTCCTTGGTGACACCACTTTATGGCACTTCACTTGGCTTCCTGTGATCAGAAAGCTTTGTGAGTAGCCCTTTTCATGACATGGACTCTCAATAAAAGCACTAATATGACTAGCACAAGCCAAATTTAAGAGCTCAACGTAAAAGACTAGTCTGTTGGGTGGGAGAGCTAATTGAACTTATAAATTCTACTCAATTTGAGAGGCTTCCTGATGCGGGACTAATGACAACTACTGAAGTTCATGTTGACAACAATGGTCCGGTCATTAGAGCTTTGGCCATGGTGAAATGTTTTTTTTCATTGAAAAATATTCTATGAGCATTTTGGTCTTTTTCCTACAACACATAATTTAATTTCTTGATCTTATAGTGTGCATTCATGGTTCTATAATAAAACCCTCCCTTAAATAAATTTTTGACCTAAAAGCATGCTTTGTTCGTGGGGTCTTCCATCCACGTGTCTCGAGCCTTGTCATCTTGACACCTCCGTTACACAACCCCTTAAGGCTTTGCCTAATTCAAGTGGACAGGATCATGTCATTTGTTTATAGGGTGTGCTTGTGTGGCTTTTTAATCCCATGTGTCAGCTTAGTCATCATCCACCTTAATGGACATTTTGCCACATAATCCATCATCCCATGGGGTTATCCTCATGAAGTCAATCAATGAGATGAGTTTTCCTTTTTCTGCTTCTCGACCCCTTAAGATGAGGAACATAATTGGGAAAATTGCAATTACCATGTGGGCAAGTTTTTCACAGAAAAAAAATCATCATTTATTGGCCACCTAAAAATCTTATGACTACCAAGTTATTGAGTCTTTTTAGTCATATTAGGTAAGGCAAAATATATGTAGTAGCTTAAGTTTTTAAATTACTTTCACATTATAACATAACATTCTCTTGTTAATTTCTAAATGGCATATGTTTTTTTTTTACTAATGTTACTTATTAATCTGATATGATTAATTGTAAATTTAAAATTTTAAAATTTTATGTATTTTACACATTCTCATTTATAAATTGACATTTAAATATCATTAAAATAACATATTCATATATGCAATAAATTTAGTTTTCAAATTACTTGTTTGTTATAATATAAGGGTGACTTATTAATTCCTAAATGACATTTATTATTTTACTAATATTACTTATTAATCTAATATAATCTATATTACAAATTGAGAGTTTAAAAATTCATTTTTTGTAATAGACTATGTTAGATTAACAAATAAAATTTGTAAAGTAATAATTGCCATCCATAAATTAACAAATCAATGTTAGATTATAACAAACAAGGGATTTGAAAATTGCATTTATTTATTGTATATATAAATATATTATTATTTTTTAGTTGCCTACTCAGTTTATTGGAGTTTTGCTCTGACTATATTTGAATTTGACTCGAATTGCACACCTGGCTTTGGTGGGTGAGTCTATAAATATGTTATTTTAATAATATTTAAATATGAATGTAGAGATTGTTTTGTTATAATTGCCACTTTCTCTTAAAATTGTACAAATTCTCTTGCAAATTAAAATATAAAAATTGAAATGTTCTAAAAAATTAAACGTTAAAGAAAAAGCTTGAATAATTGATAGAAGCAAAATGCCGGTTTAAATTTTAATTTATTTTTATAAAAATCAGTTTAAAAGATTCAATTATTTGTTGAATTTTAAAAGTACATATTAAATATGATTTCAATATATTTTAAGACTCAACGAACAAGGGCCAGTGTATCACGAGGTTGGATTTTTAGAATAGTGGACTAAACTTGACCGGTTTTCCTCGATCATTCAGTCTCAAAGGCTCTTCGGCCCAAAAAAAGAAAAATCTCCCAGGCTCTAGGAAGCGGTGAGATAGTGTTCTCACTTTCCTTTCAAGTTTATTCCGGCATTTCAAGTTTTCTGTTTCGTTGGCTGCTTCTTTTCTGCTGGCTGTAAAATTTTTATGACTTCGTGGCTTGGTATCATTTTTCGAGTTTACTTTGTGATCTTTGGCTATATGTTATTTTGTTTTCGGAATTTCTAGTTTTTAGTGCTTATGAACTTTTGATCAAGCAAGATTCCCCCCCCTCTCCGTTAGTGGTTCAATGCAGTACCTTTCTCATTAAACAAGTCAGTTTATTATTTGCAAGCAAATCTTGCGTAGTAGAGCCTTGTCTCTGTTTTGGAATACCTCAATGTCAAATTGTTGTGGAAAGCAGACAATGTTCAGGAATTTACAAACGACACTAACATTCATGATTGATGGAAAGTTACGTTTAGGAGATTAGTTTCAAATAGTGAATAGTCTTTCATTTAATCGTGATAGCTGCTCCTATTAAATTTGCAAAGGCTGTTCCTTGAGTTCTTTTTTTATATGCCCAATGGTTATAGATTCCCTATGGCCATCACGATAGCTTTTCATTTTCTTTTTTATTTTTTTAAATTAACCACACTCTATTCACTGAACTTCAATTTCCTCACAAGTAATGCTGGTTCTGGTGAAACTACTGTTCAAATCGAAGGCTCCTGAGCATGTTAGAAATAATAATAATAAAAATTTTTAAGCCTCTTTCTAATAGCTTCTGTTTAATGAGCTGGACTGAATGTGTAAGAAATTTTTACTTAGCATTTTTTTTTTGGCAAGAATTTGCTTCCAACTTTTATTTAAATTGTGTGAGAAATGTTCATAATTTGCATTTCCCCCTCTATGCATAAAGAGAATGATGTTATTTGAGTCATTTCAAGAATTAATTACTATAATATGTCATATATTATAGTTCCATTTATTTGCCACCTGTAATTGAATCTTACTATTCAATACGTTTTACAGTTCGCAATTTGAAAACAAGCATTCCGATTCGCAATACATATCATGGTCTCACTATTATGATTTTCCCTTTTGTTGGTACAAGCTTATGCAATAAACTTCCATCTTTATTTTTGTTTTTTTTCTTACATGCATGACAATTAAAGGGTGAGTGAACCCAAAAGTTAGTGGATAGGACATGGCTTCATCAAATGTCTGCCCGACCGATGATGCAATTCAAGCATTCCTAGAATACTTGGTCTTCCCAATGCTGCCTTCAAAATCTTCTGTTCGAGATAATCCCACATCATGCCAACAGCAGTCAGTTGCAAATCAGGTGTCTATTTTCAACTTATTATTTTTGTTGCCTTTTCTATTTTGCTTTTGTATTTCCCACCATGTGGAAATTGCTAGAGATGGTTTTAAGATTTATACAACTTATTAATCATTAATTGATGATTGATAGAACTATCTTTCAGAATGAGGTCACATGAGCTACAACTTCTTAATGTTTAAAGAACAACTTGTCAAAATATGAACTATAACTTGTCATCGGAGCTCCAAAGCCAGATAATAGCTTGTGAAAATCTAGACTAGAACTTATCAATATTCTAGGAACAAGTAGTCAATCCATGTTCATGATAGATTCAACACGAACAAGTAGTCAATATTCAAAAATAATTTAAGAACAACTTGTCAAAATTCAAATTACAACTTCTTAATATTTAAAGAACTTGTCAAAATCTGAACTACAACTTAACAACCTATGAAAATCTAAGTTAGAACCTGTCAAAATTCAAATTATGACTTGTCTTTGGACCTTGTTATTGACAATGGGGCTCCAACAGCCAGCATTGCATTTTCCTTTTTCCCCAATTCTTATCCATGCTACAAGGAAGCTGGGTTTTAGAAGATTCTCCTAGGTTCCTAACATTAATGAATTTTTTTTTTGGGTGTAATTATGGTTTCTCTACTGTATGGTTTCTTTCTTTTCTTTTCTTTTTTTGATAGGATCTATTGTATGGTTTCTAGTTACAGACTTACAGTATTTCTTTGTTTTTCCTGCCTGGAACATCGAATGACATATCGCCATTCCCTATTGACCTGAGATGGATTAATTTTCTTGTTTTTGACACTGGTTTGTTAGTTTCTTTTTGTTTTCTTTTTTTTTTACTTGTTAAAAGACTGGGTGATCCCTGGACAGGTATATGGATGTTTGGACATGCTGTGGAGATTAACTTAAAATCTGCTCATCTTCTCTTGTTGTTAACTATGATTCCTGGTGCAGGTGCATTCCGTTGTGTTGCTGTATAATTACTACCACAGAAGACAATACCCTGAGCTACCATTTTTGCCTTTTGATGAATTTTGCAAATTGGCTGTGGTTCTGAAGCCAAGTTTGTTAGCATATATGAATTTCATGCAACAGTCTGGTGAAACTGAACTCAATGATGTGGAGAAACAACTTTCTGTAGTAGAGAAAATGGTCATGGATGCATGTGATATATGTACGTGTTTGGATGCGTCAAAAAACGTTCCTAATATAGAGGGATGGCCCATTGCAAAAGTTACAGTCCTTTTAATAGACCATAAGAAGGAGAATTGCTTTTTGCTTCTTAATTCCTTCACTAAGGGAGTTTGGTCTGTGATTGAAAAAGATGTCGGCATCTCCAGCCAAAGTTCTGAGGATACAAAGGGAGCAAAATCTACATTAAAAAAGAAAAGAGTATTAGAAAGCATACAAAAGATAAACTAAATGTCGATGAAGCTGGACTTTTGCAAGTTGGCTATTCTGCTGTCAAGGAAGCTGTAGGTAATAATCCATTCTCAACTGAAATATTGGCATTCTTGTTGTTTGCACCTGTTGAAGAGTGTAGTTTAAATTTAGTGTTTTTAAAATGGCATCACATATCAAGAGACATTGTTGCTAGAAGAATTTGTAAGCTTCCAATTTATTTAGCCAAGTGAAAAGTGAACTGCTACCATAAAATGACAAAGTAAATCCCTGAATAGTGCTGTATACCTTCTGCTCTCCTTTCCTTTCTATTTTGAGGCAATTACTGTGTTATACTTGTATTTGTTGGTTAATATATCTCTATTCTCTTAATTTTAGTTTAACAGTTGCTTGCTTATATGTAAATAGTTAAAAGTTATTCCCTTGTGGCACTGGTACAGGTATTGACCAGGCTGATGTTGTGCTTTTGGAAAGCCACACTCTGTACTCTCACAGCAAAGAGAAGACAACCTCCTCCTTCTTGATCATGCAGTGCTCCCATTTGATCAATCAGGCAGTTTTTCAAGTTCCTATCAAAGATGTAATTGATAGGTTTGTTTTAATTGTTATTCTTTTTGGTCTTTCACTATTGGCTGATGGTTCTCGTTTCATGGATGATTGACATTGCTATAGGTAGAACTATTTTATGAACCTTAAGGGTCATCTGATATAGGTGCACTTTGATAGTTGTTTTTAGCTTTTCATGGCTGTTTTCTCTGGCTACTTGTTAGGTAGAGTCAAGAGTGTACGCTGCAGTTTCATCATAAGGGCGTGTTCTTTTCTCATTCTTAATTCTTATAATTGCATCATAGGGGATCATATAAGTAGTCCACACCTGCTTATTTTTCTTGAAATACTTGCTTGTGTTTGGCTTTAATGCTTCAAGAAGTAAACCTACTTTGATATTACATATTCTTGTAAATAACATTTTATGTCTACTTTGATAGCTTGCAAGGTCCTTTGATCAAGAAGAGTACTAGCAGTTGGATTGTCACCCCAGCTGTAGAATACTTCCATTTGCTTCCTTATTCTAAAATAATCTCAGAGCATCTTTCTAGGTAGGCCTTGTCCTTCTTATTTTTGAAAAGTAGATTAGGAATGTTTTTTCATCTTAAATGCTTTATCAGGTATACTTGGTGTTCATATGTTTAGTAGCCTATGTCTAAATTTCTAATTTCAAGAATTAGTAGAGGCTAAAGCACGAGTGAAAACTGATGGCTCGTTTGGTAGCAGTGAATTGGAGGGAGGAAAGTGGAAGTGGAACCCAAAATTTGGTGTGTTTGGTATGCATGAAATGACTTCTTGGAGAACTCACTTCCATCAAATTTGATATAATTGGGTTCCACACCTAGACCTAAAGAACCAGTTCCACTTCTCTAAAAACTCACTTGCTGACCATTTTCCCCCAACAAACCCTCTCTCCCTTAAACAATCCAACACAATGGAGGACCACGATGGTTCCAACAACGACTCTAAGGAAGTTGTGGCTTAGGCTCCCACAGTGGCGATGTCGTTTGTGAACTCGTTGATGGTGATAAAGAGCCTTAGCGATATGCCGGTGATGACGGAGTGTCATGCGAATCATGGTAGTAATACCAGATCTTTGACAGAATGCTGTTCTCCTTCTTCAATGTGTTCTCAGGCCTTTGACGGAATGCCATTCACCTTCTCCCAAGTTCTCCCTCAACCTATTTCACATTCAGAACATTTTTAGGCCTAAGTGCTTCCAGGTTCTCCATTAGCCTATTTCATCAGTCCTTTCCTTTTATTTGCATCTCGGCAGTTACTGGACAACCATTGATTTTCATCTCTGATTAATATTGGTAGAGGAATCTCAGTCGCCATTCTTGGGTTCAAGAGACTTGAAACATCCTCCACTTTCTTCAGTTTTTGAGTTATTGTTTGTCTTTATTTATTTATTTATTTATTTTTTCCTGTTATTGTTATGGCTCATACTTGTGCAGAAATGATGGAATATTATGGTTGTTTCTGGGGTGGCTATTGCTTCTACGGTGGCTGAATGTTGCTTCTACGGTGGTAGATGTTTTTTTGTGGTTGTGGCTGTTTTTGGGTGTTGGTTTTGGTTTTTTATGGGAAGGGTATATGGGCCATTTCATATTATAAGTATTTTAATTAAAATTATATTACACTTCTATCAACATGCCAAATATATTTTTAAACTGCATTTTCGCTTCTACTTCCACCAAAAACATTTCTTTGTACCAAACAGGGCATAAGTTCAGCGGCACCTTTAGAATAAATCTGTTGGGTGCTTTCCCCAATAGAATTTTTGGGTGCTTTCCCGAAACTGATCATTTTTAGGGTGCTTTCTCATTACTGATCAGCCTAATTGCTTTAACAAATCACATGTTTTTATATATTGAATCCAGGCAGATATACTTTACAATAGCTGTCTCAGAATAACATAATGTTCCTCTGTTTGTTATCCTTTGACCAACTATTACTTTCGTAGCAACTTAATTCATAAGATGATATTGATTGTATGTGTAATATATTCTATATTTGCAGAGGTACATTCTCAAACAGTTTGCAAGATTCAAAAGTTATGATGGTGGGCAGTCCTCTAATGGCAGAATCTTTTGCAATTGAGGATATGTCTGGTGGTCTTGATGGCAAGCCAAGCAGCAACAATACTGAATCACTGAAGCAGGAAGAAAATAATCGAAAGTGTGCAGGTATACTGTCTTATTGTAACATGGAGCTCCAAAGTATGAATGTGGAAAACCGTTTGCTTGTTCCATTTCAAGAGAAAGAGAAATGTCAGTATTTTGCCGATAATGTACAAGTCTGTAAAGATCAAGAGACAAAAAAGTTATCTGTGCAAAATTATGTAGAGGGCTCTGCCAATGCTCTCAAGGTAAGAAATTTACCTTCTAAAGTAACTAGTTCTTTATTTCCTTCAATGCATGTATGCGCTCAATTAAGTTAGTTGCTAGTGTTAGCAGTGCTGGACCTTTTTTTCTTACTTCTCTGGTCATATGATTAGAGTCTTTCTGATTTTTATGTTGAATTACACCAACAAAGGAATTCTGTAAAATTTGACTGTTCATATAGCTGTTAATGTTTATAGTCATACCTTCATCTGTGTTTGGGTTCAAGGATGTCTTTAGGCTGTGCAGAATTTCAGAAGCTTATTCTGTTGTAAGTTTCAAATAGGCAGATTACAAGATAAGAGGAACTTGGGAGACTCAATCTTAGGTACCACGTTTGAAAATCCAGGAGTTAGACATGCAGTCTAATTTAATATTCCCTCCGTTTCAATTTATAAAACACTTTTAGACAAAATCACACATATCAATAACGCTTATTAAATGCATTTTACAGTTTTTTTTTTTTCAAAAGAAAAATATAAAATTTTAAAAATGCTCTTTCATTTAATACTTTATTTATTAAAGAATATTAAAGAGAGAGAATATAATGGGAAGGGTAATATTGGAAAAGCATTATTAATGAAATCTTATTTTTGTCAAGGTATCTTATATTTTGGGATATTAAATCTCCCCTAGACTCAATTATGGGTCCATTTTGTCTCTCAAATTTAAAGATTTCCTTCTTCATCACCTTGCCGTTTTCTCACTATTAGTTGACTGTTAGTGGGCCTCACATTATATTTTTTAATATTTTTATATTATAAAATATTTGAGTTAAGGAGCAAAAATGACCTTCAATAGAAGTTAAGGGATAAAAATGACCCTTCACCTAATAAAAAAAATGTTAAAAAAATAGTGGGATCCACTGATGACTAATAGATGTTAAGTATTTTTAATATTAGGGTGATGATGGAGGGAATCTTCAAAGGTGAGAGATAGAATTAACCCATAACTAAGTTTAGGAGCATTTGTGACATTTCATGTGCAGTTCAAAGACAAAAATGACCCTTAACCCATAATAAAATCTTCAACAGTAAAATGTGAAGGTTTAGGCTCCAATTGGTTGGACTGTCATCAATTGGCTGAAAATCATGGACGATTGTGTGGTGTATTTATAAATTAGTTCTGAGACCTGAGTAGATTCTTCTCATAGCAGTTAAATTAAGGTTATTTTGTCTTAATCTGTCTAAGAAGTTCTACGTGATATTTACAACCACTAAATATGACATTTAAATATGCCAAAGTCATTCAGTACTCAAAATAAAACAGAATGGAATGGAAAAAATTGATTTGGAGTATGTGAAATGACTTTTATGCCTATACCTTTTGAAAGTGGAGAAAATAAATAAATAATGTTGAGTCATCATTGCCAGAAATAATAAACATCTTTTTTGCCTTCCTTCCCCTCCAACCAAACAGGCTGTCATTTGTTCCTATCCAAAGCTACAGTACCATGGTTTTTATTTGTGTCTATCTTTAATTCTCAGCTTCTAGAATTTCTTTAAGCCTGTCTTTGGGCACCCTTGTTATCATCAATTCTTGCACACCCTAATCGTTAGAATGAAAATTTGTTTCTTCCTGTCTGTCTGTATTAAACCAGAACTACTCCCAATATTTGTATTGTGTATGGAATATGGATGATACAGAATAATCTGCACATCGTATCTTACACTTTAGATGCATTTATCTCTGTGGAGTCATCTGTTCAGAGTTTTGATGATCAGTGCTTCTTGACTGTGCACTTTTTTGCTGTGTTAAGGACTATCTGTTTAGAGAGGGATGACTGTTGTTTTAAGAACTGTTTCTTGGTCCCAGAGATGTTGTGGGAAAGAATATAGTTGGTATTTGGGATTTTTAGAGAGATTGGGTTTCTATGGTGCAATTTTTTAAATCACAACTTTGGGGGGGGGGGTGTGGGTATTTTAGGATTTTCATTGGAGGATGTCTTACGCTCCCCTGTTTTTAAAACTTTGGCCTGCTTTTTAAGGAATTTCCCCCTCACATAATTCAACACCTGAATTTTGTAAATTAATTTTAAAAAAATTAGAATCCAGAAGCCCTGAGCTGAGTCTTGTATGTTTGCATTTTCTGCCTCTTTTTGTGTTGCCATCACTTTTTTTTTAAAATTTTTGTGGTTTTATTCTAATGTTTCTTGTCTTTCATCTGATTGCATGCTATTGGTTTTGCAGGTTGTGACAGCTAGGACACTCACCACTGAAGATGGAGCCAACAATCTTGCCACATGTAACAAGATTTTCACCAACACTTCATCAATAGAAGACACAAAAGATAAGTGTACTCTGGTTACAAGTCAGTCCAGTTCTAACAATCTTGATCTTCAGAAGTTCCAAACTTTTTTAGCTTTGAAGGGGGAGATACTGTCACAAACTTCCCTCAAAGTTCTTACTCAAAGGAGGAATGAGCTGGTAAAGCCTACTGCTTTCTATTAGAAGAATGTTTGCATCTGTTCTCTTTAGCCACGACCCTGGACACCTACAACTAGTTCACATGGGTTACGAATGACTAAACTTTCATGGACTCTGCACATAAAAATGGAATAAATAGTGTGTTTATGATGACCTATCTATTAAAATGATTTCCTACTGGAACTTTTATATCTAACAATAATGGTGGCACAGTTCACAACCTTGTCAATTATATCAGTCACTTGTATTTAAACCTTCAAAGAAGTATGCTAAAAATATATTCATAATCATCACCGTTATTTTCTTTTTCCTTAAAAAAAATTAATTGTAAAAGTTTGCTTACAATTGTCATTTGAATGCCTAAAAGGCCTTTACTAACTTCAATGCGGTTTTATCATATGAAGGCTCTCCAGCAGCGAAAGACAGAAGATGAGATTGCCCTGTGCAATAAAAAAATTGAGACAATATTAACTGGTATGTTTTTATTTGTTTTGCCATGCTTGCTCATTTTGTTGTACTGGTTCATTATTTAATCATTATGGTTTTTCCCCAATTTTACCTTTTTTAGTGTTTCTAGAATTTATCTTCACCTTTCATTTTTAACCTTTTTAGGAGAAAATCTTTCATTTTTAGTTTATCAAGTGTAATATCAAACAATCTCTCTAGCAGGTCTGACGTTGGTTCACGACTTCTATTTTCAATGGTTTCACATGCTATCTGTGATGTGATTCTGTGGCATCAGCAAGGCATCTGACTTCAATAGCTTTGAATAAATAAATGTTTTTTCTATGGAACTTTCTGTGAAGGGTGATGATCATAAACTGAACCAACACCTTGGGTGTAAGGAACAATTTATTGAAGAATAATGCATTCCTTTACAGATGAAACCTGTTAAGGTTATTCGTTTGCCTCCATTGGATGTCCTACTCTTTAAAAACTACCTCAATTTCATCAATCACTGTGAAGTGGTTCTTCTAGTATCTTTAATTTCCAGTGTGCATCTCGTTTGCCCCAGCAGTTCAGATGTAAGATTGCACTGGACCAGCTATAATCTGTCTTATCAATCCTGCAAACCCGTTGATGTTCTATTGTTATGAGGCAGATCCTGAGTCATTAATGTTAGACAAATTTATACGTTTTCCTCTTCAATTTGGTCCATATTTTTGTGATAGATGGTGTCCATTACTTATGTTAGTGTTTTCCTGACAAAGTAGGTGGGGAAGGTGATTTGGAGTTAAAGATAGAATCCATCATAGAAGGCTGTAACGATAAGCATGGAATGACATCTCAAATTTTGAGGACGATTGCTTACCACCATGTATTAAGAGGAAAAGATTGTCAGAGGCCGTCCTCAATATGCCAAGTCCATGCCAGGCAAGACATAATGTGCTATTCATTTTCTTTTGATGCTTGTGATGAAGGATAAAGGTAAAGTGGGAATGGAAGGAGAAATAGAAAGAAAGGAGTGAGGAGTGGAAGAAGTTGAGGGAAAAGTAGATGGCCAGTAATCTCAACTTTCTTCAATTTGTCAACGGGCCTAGCAAATGAAGAAACTCAAGGGCCATCCAGAGTGCTAGGTACAATTAACAAGACATAACATGCTATTCATTTTCTTGTGATACTTGTGCTGAAGGATAAAGTGGGAATGGGGGGAGAAATAGAAAGAAAGGAGGGAGGAGTGGAAGAAGTTGAGGGAAAAGTAGATGGCTAGTAATCTTAACTTTCTTCAATTTGTCAACGGGCCTAGCAAATGAAGAAACCCTAGGGCTATCCAGAGTGCTAGGTACAAATGATGATGATGATATAAACTGATCCTAGATAAGATAGGATAAGAGATAAGATAAGATAAACGCTAATTAAATCTAAAAGATAATCTAGATATCCTAATAAAGTAATTTATTTAAAAATCCTAATTATGTTATCTTAAGATGAAGTAACCCATATCCCATTTCCCATGATTGAGGCTAAAAATGAGTTATGGTGTGTTTTATTAAAAATTATGTGTGTTAGGTTATTTACCTTTCATATTAGGTCTACGATTGATAAGAAATATGATAGATCTTTATAATTCTGACAAGAGAGAGAAAGAGAGGGAAAGAAAGAAAGATAGAGAAGAGAGGCAGAGAGATACAGAGGGAAATATGATATTTATTGCTTGGGTGCATTAGAAAACATAACATGTCAAATTAGTGCATTTGTGTATGAGTACAATTGAAAATGTTTTACCAATTATCAACTATATAAAGCATAATCAATCCTGTATAGTTCAAAAGACAGGACCCCACTCACATGAATAGAGCAAGTTCCTAGGAAGCATCGTTATTGGTTGGGACACGAGCTTCGATATAGTGCTGTTAATAGAATACAAAAATTATTAAAAAAAAATATGGGCATGAATATGCCTTATATATATAAGTTGAAGAATCAAGTAAAATCATGGTATTATGTATAAAACATCATTCTTAAAAATAGATACAAAAGATGGATGCACCGGCAACATTCACGAGTATTGCAGGTTCCTAGGAAGCGCTGCGGACATGATGTTGTCAATAGATTACAGCAATTATTAAAAAATATTGGCATGAATATGGTGTGTATGTATAAGTTGAAGAATCAAGTAAAACCATGGTATTATGTATAAAAGATCATCCTTAAAAATAGAGGAATAAGACGGATGAATCTTTGTTATAGCATAAACAAAAGAGTTTTTAGAGGAGTATGTAGGCAACCAACGAAGCACATTCGTTACTGTTTATGAATAACAAAAGATAATAGGTCATTTGCATTAGTGACAAACTATCAATCCGTTACATGAAAGGTGAGGTATTTGCCTATTTGGTTACAACAACAACATAACTTGCTTGCTTTTGCTCATCTGACAACCAATTTTCAATTGCAAAAGGATCCCATCTTCCATCTATGCCTCCTGGTGCACTCAACTACTTTCATCTCTTCAAAAGCCTTATTTGCTTAAGGTTTAACTATTTGGTGTCCACACTGTATTTTGTCCTGATAATTTGAATAATAATAAAAAGATAAAAAATCAATAATTGAAATACATTTCATTTTACGATTTTGTATTGAAAAAATAATAAAAGTAAAAAAAAATAAAAATAAAAAAGTCAAATCATTGCAAGGATTTTCCTTTAGAATTGGGAAATAAAACTATTCGTGAAAAACGAACAATTAAGGCGTGGTGTCGTGAGTCGTGCCAGAGACGTGAGGTTTCAAGAGGATGGAAGAACCTGACTTCTAATCAAATGTAGGGACCCAGGCTCCCTTACCACAGTTCACCTGGATGTGAGAATGTGAAGTAAAGAACGCTAATGTAGATGCAGAAAAGTAGAGATGCATTAATTGAAGAAAAAGGATGGCGGGCTATGTTGGCTGTACAACGAAAAATAAAAACTAAAGCTACATGATAAAAAGAAAAAATAAAGTAACAGACGCAGAGTTTGAGACTGGTAGTTTGTTGATGCTGATGATGATTGTTGAGAGAGAGCTCCTCTATTTATAGATGATCTTGGCTTGGTGCCTGAACTTCATGATTGTCACTTTCCTTGAATTTAGGAAGCACTTCCTCTATCATATTCACTCATCATGGGTGATGGTCTTGACTTAATGGCTAAGATTTCATAAATTCTTTTTTCATATAATTATTTTAAAGCCAATTAAGTTGAGTTGGGCCAGGGCTTCTATATTCACAATTTGGGTGCAAACAAAAATATTTTGCGAGTTATTTATCAAAGATCTTGTCTATAAGATCTTGAATGGAGTAGATAAATATAAAAAAAAAAATTCAAATAGATCTAAGGATTATCCATAATATTTTTAGATAAATCAATGAAACACCACCACCACCACCTCCTTGGGGATTATCTTTTTGAAAATTCAAGAGATTGAGGATTAAAAATGTAAAAAAATATTATGTTGCAAGACTTAACGCTCTCTCTATAACATTTTCTTACTAAATAAATTAAAGAAATGAAAATCCAGTATCTTCCAAAATTATCTTAGGAGTTAAAATAAATAGTTGTTATAGGTTTTGGCTAGTCTCCCTATCTATGACATTTTCTAAATCTCTCACGCTGTAATTCAAATCAGAACAACCTAGCCTGGCTCTTTATAAACAGAGGTCGGAAGAGGTCTTCAAATTGTAGAATCTCAGATGTTGCTTGGTGTGTAGCTTGATTGGCCCGCGTGTCCATAGGTATATCAATCCACAAATCATGGAGTAAAGTACAAAATAAAAAATATTTAGAAAGGTTTTATCTCTTAAATAAAAGGAATTTAATATATTTTTCTTCTTCTTCTCCTTCTTATGATTATTATTATCATTAGCAGCAGCAGTAGTATTTTTAGATTCATGTCCTCTGAGGTTTTTGAATCTTCACAGGCATATAGGTTGATTGTTTGCCTTGTGAGATTCTCAGCAGATACATTAATCCATAAATTATAAAGGTATAAGCTATTAATGTTTTATCTAATATTTTTTTTTTGGGGGGGGGGGGGACAACCTGATAATCCTTTCTGATTCTTACATGTGATGTTTATAGTACGTATATTTGTAGGGTTATAGTCACATATATTTGAACAACGCAGAAGGGGGTGTTGAGAGGGGAGAAAGTACTACTGAATAATGTAGGCTGTTCCTGCCACCTTTTTCCTATGACACATAGATTCATATTTCCGTACAAGTACTTAGAAATCTGATTATCTTGCAGGAACTAGATGGCATATGTCACGAAAATAATTGGATCCTGCCTACTTATCGGGTATCACCATTGGATGGTAAGACTGTTTAACTTAGATGTAGAATCCAGAAGTGGAGGCAAATGAGTTTTACTCTAGGAAACTTCATTGCTGTTAGTGCACCATTGCCAGCATAGTATGAATGATGCATTGCTCATTGATTCACATTAGACAATGCCTAAGTTACTCATTTATATGCACTTGTGTATGTCTGTGCGTGTATAAAGATATGTCTGTGTGTAAAAAAATTATCATGTTGGGGTTCAATCTTGCATAATTAAAATATATTGGTTGTACCTTTTGAAGGTGGTTTCGAAGCTAATGTAACTGTTAAAGGGATGGACTTTGAGTATTCATGCGGGGGTAACCTGTGTCCAAATCCTCGTGAAGCCAGAGAATCAGCTGCTGCTCAGATGTTGGCCGACTTAAGAAGTAAGGCGAAATCAACCCAAAGCTAGTTTTGATTCTCTCATATGGAATCGTAAAAACGGCGTACTTGAGTCTTCTTTTGCGGGTGCTCGCAGCCTTTACCATGTTCTGGGAAAGAACCCTGGCTTTTATGTCAATCTAGCTGTTTTTTTGGGGTTAAAATGTATTTGCCGATAGTAAAGATGATGATGATGGGATTACAGTGACACTTGTCATAACGGGCAAGAAAATGTTACAACTCTGGGATGCAATGGGTATTCAGTTGTTGGATGCAGGGATTGCGTCTACGGATTGCTTCAGTTTTAACTCATCATTTACTTGTTCTGGAATATTATCATAGGCAGTAGAGTCAGTGAATCGAATTTCGTCACTTCATCCGAATTTGGAGTGGATCATAGGCGCTCTCGGTGGTTATTCATCCAAACAAGTAGATTGGCGATCAGTAACACTTTTCGCATCAACAGAAGTAGCTGCCGAATTTAATTCCTATCTCGCTACCATACTCTTTATGGTCGAGGGAATGGGTGAGAACAAAGATGCGAAGTTCTTTGCTTTCTTTCTTCCCCCTTCTTTAAGGCGGAGGGGAGGGAAAGCCCTGGTCAGAAATTTGCGTCGTTTTTCTACAAATTCAAACAAGAACCTCAACATTCAACTCAAGTGTTCAGATTCCCCATCTACCCCCGCCCAAAAAAAAAAACCCCAAAAAAAAACAAACGCCCTCCATGATTCTTGAGCAAATCCTTTTAAGCTGTGGGATGAGTCACAGAATCCACTCGCTGGAAAACTCACCAATCACCATCCCTAGGTAGTAGCTCCTTCCAAACTTTCTTAAATTGAAGCAGGTCCAGGCCCATCACAAAGTGATTTTATTGGCTTGATGTTTCGGTAAAGACTTGGGCAGTGTAGGATCTTATCGTGATCAGTCATCTACTAGTGAAACCTAATTTACAGAACGTTGTCAATCTACTTTATAGGAGTCTACAAAGCAAAACAGAAATTTTAGGAATGTTCACCAGAAATAAAGCCATAAAAAGGAAACGTGACTTCAATATTGTGAGGCATTGGGGCACCCTTTCCGCCGGCTTCAATACTTGATAGCTCCGATCCATAATAACCTCGTTGGATGTTGCCGAGTCCAGCACTAATTCCAGTGGTCGTTCCCAGCTAGACAACAGGCAAATTAACTGGGATGCCTTGGGGAGCAATCTTGATACAGTATGCAACCAGTGCTGGATCCTTTTTTGAGAGCATCTTATGCACCTGAAATGCTAGGAGACAACGTAACAGTCAAGAGGAGAGATAATGATGTGTACCCAATAGTAAGGGTGAGCATGGTCAGTTTGGTTTGGTGTCAAAATGTATAAAACTGATCAAATGAACAACATTAAAAACATGAACCAAATCAAACCAAATAAGGATTAAATTTGACAATTCAATTGGGTCAGTTAATTTAGTTTGAGATTTCATGTTGGGCTGTTTAAACTCAGGCTGCATTTGGTTTGAGGGGAGGGAAAAGGAGGAAAGGGGATGAAGGGGAAGGGAGGTGAGGGTAGAGAGGGGGGAGGGGAGGAGAGGGATGGATCCCCTCAATTTAGGGAGTGGGGGAGATTTTGGAGGGAAGGGGAGTTCCCCCCAACCAAACAACCTTTTAGACTAATATTTTTTTAATCAGAATGGACAAAGCTTACATAAAAAATTGGACTTGTGAAGTATTAGTAATTTATTTTAATGAGGGGTTAGGATTTAAATTTATCAAATTATATATTTACTTTTATTTAAGTATAAAATTAAAAAAGAATAAAATAAAATAAAGTAATTAATAAATTAAATATAATTTATAAATAAATAAAAATATATATACATGATAATATATATACATGATAATTTAGTTGGTTTGATCTATTCGATTTTAAATCTTTCTAACCGAATTGAACTGATCAATTAAAATATTTTTTTAAAAAAATAAATTAAAAAACCAAATAGGCCGAATCAAATAACAAAAATTTGGTTCAATTTTTAGTTTTATTTTGATTTTGCTCACCTCTAACTAATAGGAACCTGTCCTACAAAATCTAGGAAGTACAGATTTGGTTAGCAAAGAAAGATAATTAAAAAATAAAATCATTTAAAAGAATGAGATAAGATGGTCTAAAACTTGAAAGTCATCATCCAAAAAAAACTAGTCCTAGAATGAGATAAGATAATCTAAATTTCAGAATCTAAAGAAAAGTTGTCCCATAAAACATCAAGCATATAAAACTTGGCTCTCAATGCAAACATGTTTAGAAGTGCATGAAACATAAGAGACAATCAAACTCTTGTTACCAAATGTATTCTCCAGGGAATACGAGAAAATAAGTTACTCTAGCTTAAAAAGAAATGAATATTATTCAACTCTAATTTTCTTTATGTATATATCAGACAATGTTTAAATGGGAAAAGAAAATTTAGATTCTTGAAAACTCTAACAAACAAAAATCCTAATTGACTCACTTATGCTCAAGGGCCCACTGATGAGCATTCAGGTCCCTCTCTTATTAAAATACTAACTTAAAAGAAATATAATAATAAATACCTATGAAAATACAAGGGGAAAAAACTAACAAAGCTGAATTGATATAAACATGACACCTAATTAATGAAATCACATGTTAGGCACATGACATGCTTATTTACAAATAATCGGTTAAAAATTAGATTGAAACACAATTTAAAAATAATTTAAAACTAATTTATTTATGACACTTCAATTGATGCCACTTGTCTTTATTTAGGAATTATCCACGCCACTTAAAGCTTCATTCTTGATAATACCTTCTGACAATCAAGGTACATAGAAAGTAGATAGGATTGTTCATCTAGCTTCACCAAACATGTGTACTAAAACCTCCTCTGGTGTCATAGCACTAGCATTCGAAAGGAGAGATGGAAGTCCTAAATAATGAAATGGAAAATTTTCCAGTACACGTAAAACTGCGCGCCCAAGATAGTCATGTTATACTAGAGCGGTAGTTTTATTTAGTCCTGAGTTACTTTTATTATCATTAAACCAAACATGATACTAGCTTAAGGTTAATAGTCAGATTGTAGTTGAATTATGATTGGATTTATCATGATTGATTTAATATATATTTCAAATTTTAGATATTAAATACTCCCTTCATTTAAAAAATGTAAGGTATTTTTTGAGGAGTTTGATATTAAAAAATATAAGACATTTTTAATCTTTTAAGGTATAATTACTGCTTTTTTTTTTTCAAAAATGCTCCTATTGATAATAACTTTATATTTATTATAGGGTGTTTAATGAAAATAACTATATAAAAATAGAGCTAGTCTGAAAGTATGTAACTATTTTATTGGAAGTGAGATTCAATTAAAAATACTTTATATTTTTTAGTGGATGGAGTATTACATCAAAGATAATATTTTATAAAATGTTATTTTATAAAGTTAAATTTATAAGATGAGTTTAAATTATTTTTTATTAAACATTATTTTATTAATATGTAATATATAAAATTGGAAGGCAGTAAGGTAAAATGTTACTTTTTCTTCAATTCAGCAAAACTATTATCAGATATCTTCAAAAATATAGTTTAAAGAAATAATAAATATTTTACAATTTAAAAAATAAAAAGAAAATAAATATGAGTTGTAATATTAATATAATGTATATAATAATTTTAAAACTCATCGTTCTATACATATACATACATACAAGTGATTGTGCGCGCGCGCGTGTCTGTATGCATATTTTCTTACTAGTATTTATTTTTTTAATGCTAATAATGTGCAAACAAGCATAAAATATAATTTATAAACTTAATTTAAAAAAAAAAACGGAGCAGTTCAAACCAGTTTATCGGTTTTATGCTAGTTTGAACTGATTCCCAGTCTTCTTTTTTTTTCAAGATAAGTCTAATTATGTTAGGGAAAATTATATCCAAAATTACTCAAGTAAATTATTCACAAATAAAAATTAATATAAAATAAATTATTGTTAAAATAAAGACATAAACTTATATGTTTTGCAATGAAACTTGTTTTAACCCTTGTCTGCTATTAATTTGCTTAAGTAGTCTTGAATGTATTCTCCCATTATATCAATACAGTAAAATGATTGCAACAAAGGGCTTTTAGTAACAAGTGGTTTTAAAGCCCAAATAATAACAAAGTCCAAATATAACACAACTAGAACAAACAGGAGGAGGCCCACACTGAGCCAGACTCACGAAAAACCGAAACAAGAGAGGCAAAAAGATGCAGTTGAACCTTCTTCAAAGGTGTACGCGATAGAGTTTGCAAATTGTAAATAAGTAACCAATCCAAAAATGGTCCCATAACAACTGTTCAAAAGCACAGTGAGCCAGGGATGAGGTTAATTTCTTTTGAAAACCCAAAGCCATAAAAGCTTTGGTTTTTGAGTTCTTTTCTGCATGCATTGTCATAAAACAAGAAAGGAACCAAGAGACATCAACCAACCAGACACTGAACAGAGAGACTGGAAAACAGAAAAAGGAACGTAAACTGATTCCCATAACTCTAGCATCTTTTTGATAAAAAAAAAAAAACACACTACTATGAAAAAAACAAAAAAACAAAAACTCACAATAAGCCAAGGCCAGCCACTAATTTGATAACGAGCTTCTTGAAATGACTAGCATAAACGCAAGGGAAAAATTAATTTTACATGTATAGACCGTATTAATTGTAGAAGTATAGACCACAAGTTGTATAAACAATTGTCACCAAAATCATGCACTTGCTGGGGGAAAAATCTGCTCCCACAACAGGAAAAGAAAAAGAGACTGGCATACACTCTCTCCGCCCATTTTATGCACTGATGGGCACGAATGGTAAGAAAACATCCAAAGAAAGATTATGATTAACTCTTAAAAGAAAGAATGAATAAATTGCCAACTGCTTGGGAGATTGAACAAACGACAGAGAAAGTGATCTCTAAGATTTAAATTCTATTAGCATCCAGCAGCTTTCAGGAACTTATCATAGGGACTTGAAGGTGGTAGTCTCAAAGTATGCTGCTGTCCAGGGTCATATTGTGCAGATAGGCGAACCATATCTTGCGCTTGGATTTGCTCCTGAGTGGTCAATGCCATGTCTCCTTTTGAATATTCCAGGGTCTACACGACAGCGCAGATGCATCAAATAATAATCGTTTCAGGATTTTTTACTGTCAATACATTCCACCCATTCCACCTTCTTTTTATTTGTACAACCAATAAAAATTGTACTTTATGAAAAGGTAGTTCGCTCAACCTTCCACCCATTCCCCTTTCTAATAGTGCCAACTGAAAGCAACAATAACTGTCATGTATCACATGAATTCTTCAAATAATCAGTTGACCATTGACCAATTAAATGTTGAATAGATCCTCGAGAAAAATTAATTCCTTCATAATAACTACTTTCATTTTAAATAAACTTCAAAAGTTATGATAAGAAAGTGATCACCTTAGTTGGTAAGAAGGGAAATTGTGTTTCATTTTCACTTGAAAGAACTATCGCCCTAGTCTCTTGGTGCTTGAAACTGTGAAGAATTGACATCTTCTGTTGTTTCCCCGTCACAAGCGCCTCACACTGGTTCTTCATTTGGTCATAAGGCACAATAGTTGATGACATGGGGAAACTAGCAACTTGACGGGCAGTCTCCAGAACCTATGCATACAACAATCACCATAGGACCTCTAAGAAAATGACATGTTTCCTCCAGCCAAAAGGCATCACAAATTGATTCAAAATACAATATCATGGCAACTAGCAAATTCTAAAATTAAAGATCAGTATTACCGATTCTAAGAGTTGATTAACACTTAGAATGTCAGGGTTATTGAAAGAGAGTGATGTTTTGCTATCTGACTGGCTTCTGCTTGGTTCAGGCCCCATCTCGTCATCCATCAAGGCCACTGGAGCCATGATCTGGAAAACAACCAATCACCAGACTAATCAGACAAAATCTTTTAGAAGGCACTTAAATGGAAATGCAATGTCAAGATTTTACCTCGTCGAAGTCTGAGAACTCAATCTGAGCTAGTGGAGAACTTGGCCGTGGTGTTTCCATAAACAAAGGAGGTCCTGATGGATATGCATCATCAGGTGAAAAGCCCTGTAGAAGTTGCTTCTTTATGCTGGACAACTCATCCTGATCAACGGAAAAAAGATTGGCATAACAGATAATTTCCAGGAAAAAAAATCCGTATCCATTTGTCACTCAAACACAATGGCAAAATATTTTTATTTTTATTAGAAATTCATTATACGGTACATCAGCAGAAAATTAATTCATAAAAAATTTGTACTAAGAGCAACCAGTTAACTGCCTCGTGTATTAAACACTTGATCAGACATTTAATTCATTCTATCACAAAATCATAATCACGCTGGCTTCAAAAGTTCAATGGTGTAACAATTATCATGTCATTCTAGTAAGAGTATTTTACTAGTCAAGTACACCATAATACAGACCCATCTCATTCCTACTTTCCTTTTGACAATTGTACTCGCACAGGTGGAGCCTCCCTATATGTATAATGACCATCTGTGCCCACCATTACCGATTGCTCAAGGGATATAATAACATTTTTTGATAACCCAAGCGAGATTTATACGCCTTTTATTTTGCAATGAAATTAGCTACTCCATTATAAATGTAAAAATGGCTTATGAAAGTCCCTCTGGTGACATTTTGCTGCCTTTGCAGGTTCTATCCTAGCGTCATTCTGATCAGGAGGTTCATTATATCAATTTATAATACAACCAAACGGAGGGTGACATTTTCATTTTTCAAAGAGTGTCAACTACCAATCCATCTTAAAGGCTTAAACTAATAGGAGAGGGTCTATGAATGGCTTTATCGATATCTGTAAGATATGCCCCTGGTGCAAAAACACTTTCAGATGGAAGCATGGATGGAAGCATTTGCAACTATTCCTTGAGCTGAAACTTGAGTTATGGTTAAAGTGTAATTTTAATCCTTTAACTTTATATAAAGTTTCAGTTTAGTCCCTCAATTTTATAAAGTATCTTTTCAGTCTTTTAACCTCTAACACCATTAATTTCAAATAATTATTTTGTGACAATCATTGATATTTTAAAAAATTATACTTAATATGTTAATATTTGAGAATGTTTTGTTAATATTTAAAAGATTAATGTAAAAAAAATTTGTTGATGAAGCTACCGGTGTTAGGGTTAAAAGAATGAAAATACACTGTAAAATTAAGGGATCAAAATGAAACTGTGTAAAGTTAAAAGATAAAAGGACTAGATGTGTACTTTAACCTTGATTTATTTATGAAAAATTGGGAGTAAATGATTGAGTTCCTGCTCACTTAATCATGAAATAGAGAAAACATATCAACAATTTATCCATCTTAAACGCTTAAGCTACTAGAAGAAGACCCATGAATGATTTTATTAATATCTGTAAGAAGACAAAATTCAACAATGTTATACTTATGTGAGCATAAAATTCACCATTAAATAAACATAATTGATATTTAGATTATCCGACATTCTTAACACCTCAACCTATCCAATGAAAACCAGAAAGAAAACGGGAGGCCAATTCACAGTATTCTTGTATGACTCCAGCTAAATTGCCATTTGGGAGCAAATAAATGGGACATAAAATCATTCATTTTACCTCTGATAATTTTGCAAATTTAGTCATGAAGTATGATATTACAGTCTCTTTCAACTGCCTATCATCCAATTCTATGGCCGAAAGTGACCTCATAGCATCGGTTTCATCTTCCTGAGATCCATAAGATATCTTCTCTGATTCTATATAAACGGCCTGCAGTTGGAAGTCATCGACCAACTCAAGAAAAGGATCTACCTGTAAATTTATGACTCCAATTAACTAACCTAACTAAATTGAGATTCTCAATTTCAAAAGGAAGCTCAAAAACAAAGACACTGAATAGGGTTTGATTTAAGAATTTGAGTGAAGAAACTAACAGTGTTCTCTGTCAGGGACGCTTTAACTATTGGAATCAGATCAGGAAAATCGCCTGCCCTGGCAGAAAATATAAGCATGTATGATGACAAGGTGAAAAGGGATCTCCTGCGTGATGGTTGTAAGCCTCCTTCAAGAAACATCCAGAAAAACTTATCAGAACACCAAGTAAGGGATATATTTATACTAAGCATAAAAAGAATGCAATACCATTATCAAGTTTTCCCAAGGTGGCAGACTGAGCCCACTGAATTTTCAGATAAAATCAGAATACGCAGAGCTACCCCCTCTTTTTTCTTTTTTCAATAGAACAAATATTCAAGTGCCTTTGTAAACTAATAAGATACAGTTTATTGTTATTGGGGAGAACACATTTGCAGGTCCTTAAAGTTTACATCAATTTTTAATCAAGCCCTTATAGTTTTAATCATTTTAATTGGGCCCTTACACTTTCACATGTTAGACTGGCTAATCCCTCCCCACTAACACTGTTTAAAAATTGTTGATACAGTTAATGGTGAATAACATGGCTAACAGATACGTCCACACAAGCATGCAGGTGGATCAAATGACTGACACATGGACTGAAAGGGAGAGAGAGAGAAAACTTGAAACAGGGATCATTTGCCCACAAGCTCGCCTAGGACAAGTAAAAACTCATCCTAAACATACAGAGTAAAAACTGATTTCAATGGCCCCCTTTGATTTCAATCGTTTGCCTACTTTCAACAACACTATAAACCACATATCAACTACTGATAGGAGTTTCTGCTCTTGAATTGAATTGAAGCACACAATAAAGGAATACCATTCTCTGGGATATCCAAGGGCAAAACTTTTCCCCATTTGGTGCAATTCCATAGCAAAAGTGCAATTAAACAGTAATGGAATTAATTGATGAAAAAAATTCAGAATCTGACTCCAAAAAATTCCCTTTCTTTTAATCCAGCATAATGGAAAACAGGGTCCAAGGGTAAAATACCTTTTCTTCAAACTCGGACTCCTCCATCGTGAGGAGTTCTTCTCATTTTTAATTTTTCCTCCTCCTCAACACCAAACTAAACCTATCAAATCAGGCTTCCTTTCTCTTTCAATCATTATTATGACTGACATATAAATTGCATATCGCTGAAATCAATGTTTTAGAAAATCTAAAATTAGATATCGAAGTGTAGACAATGGAAGCAACAAGGAGGACTACCAACGGTGGCGAAGGGCAGAAGCGATCTGCCCTAAGTGAGCTCGAGGGTGAACAACCCTTTTTTTTTTCCTCTCTCCTTCTCAGACCATGTGTCAATCATTTGATCCACCTGATGCTTGTGTGGATATAATTGTCAGCCATGTCATTCACCATTAGCAATATCAGCACTTTTTAAACAGTGTTAGTGGGGAGGGATCAACCAGCCTAACATTTGAAAGTATAAGGGCCCAATTAAAATGATTAAAATTATAGGGGCCTGATTAAACCAGCCCATCATCCCTTGTGCTGACAAATTTAATTAAAAGAATGGGGACAAAAAAGATCCAACTCTCGACCATTTGGTTATGGAGGCTCCATAGGGGCCCGATTGAACCAGCCGATCATGCCTTGTGCTGAAAATTTAATGAAAAGAATGGGGAGCAGCAAGGATCAAACTCTCAACCATTTGGTTATGGAGGCTCTAACCTCACGTTAAGGACCATTTCAATTCATTAGTATAAGCTATTAACCGAAGGCCCATGAATAGCTTTTGTCATAATCTTGAACAGCTAAGGACCTCAGCAAAATAGATACTGGTAATTCAGTGCTTAATATTAGAAAAAAATCACAATTCCAAGTCAACTTGATGAGAAAATAGAATAGAAAAAGGAAGCGTGGCAAGATGACAAGAGAAGAGGACTAGAAGAAATTCATTTATATGTTTAACTTACCTTCTTGATCCAAAGAGATACTCCTAAGGGAGAATGCCAGTTGGAAACATCTTACTAAAGCCATGTGACTGGATGTCTGTGGAAAGAAATTCAATCATCACAAACTTCCAGAAAGTAATCAAGTCAAATTGTCTTTAACTATCAAACAAGGAAAAAAAGATGATGATGTGTGCTCTGGTTGTCCATTTCTGATAAGTACAAAGTTTCTTTCAGAAAACCATATCTTTAAATACAATGTTGGCGCCCATTTCAAACAAGAACAAAATACTTTCACTAGGAAGTCCATGTACAAAAGGAACTTGGTTATACACAACAAAGGTGAAATTTACTGACAGATAACAGAAATCATAACTTGTTGAGAACAATCCATAAGGATGTCCAAAAATCATCAACGGTTGCAACCAGAAATTCTAAACAAAAAGACACACTTCTATCTTCGCGACACCAGAAACACATGCATACATCATTAAATATTTCTCCATAACAAGTTTGAGAAGTTAGGGACAGTATCAGGAGTAAAGAAGCTCATAATGCAAAAGCTTAATCACAACTTAGAGACAAGTAACAATAATCATGCTTTCAACACTTTCATGAGAATGAGACCGTGGGATGCCATCTAGAATATGATTATGAGATAGCATTCTAAAGGATTCCTGTAATTTCCAACCTGGTGATAAACAAATTAAATGTGATAAGTAAACATAAAAGTACATTATTTGACCACTAATTATACAAAATAAAATCTATCATGGCCTTAGGATACAATAATCTCACCTTAGAACGAGTAAACAACAAAGCAATGCTATAGGTGTGAGCCATTGCCTCAAAATTCTCAGGGCCATTTTCTGCGGATGTTGCCTGTACCCAGATTGAAGAAAGCAAGAGACTCACTTGGTGACTACTTAATCGAAGAGAACTCAGCTCCTGAAAATTTCAGATGCACAACATTTTTTTAGTATAATGAATATCAGAATCTACAGACTTAAATCTATACTATACAATTTAATAATGATAATTAAAAATTTCATACATCTTTTCCATCAGTGAGAGCACGGGTAAAGCTGCAAACACGAAATACATTAGATGCATATTTCCCATTGGCACCTGCTTTTGTCTTTCCCTCTGATGGTTCCCTCTTCAAAGGTTCTTTGCTGACAAAATTCTGATCATGAATGGCAAAGCTTTCACTTTCTACCTTCTGAATCTTCTTTGTTTTTCTTGTCTAACCATGGAGAAAAAAGAGATGGCATAAGCACTTTAGAGAAGACACTATGTGCCCCTATTCGTGTTTCATAGTCTGGATGAGCCATTGCCATAAGCAATTGATGAAATAAAGCATCTGGGAAAGCCTGGACATTTCCATCAACAACCCTGATATTTAGAAAGTTTTACAAGTGTTTAGGATGTAGAAAATCCAATTTTCAAACTAAGTAAAAAGCACTTGCCTTCTTGTGATATGATTCATTAGGGATAGAAGAGATCAATTTTGTAGTTTGATAAATAGCAGAGATCGTGGTGCGTGCTGTTATAGTACCATTTGAGATATTCTCTAACACCACTGCCATCATATCAAGAATGGGCCCTGCATCCCCAACCTGTTATTTTCAAAATTTCAGTTACTGCAAAAAGAATGTGGCAAAAAATAGTACTCTTCCTTATACCAACCCTTTGTACATCCATGTGAAGGAAAATTAAGTGGCTTCTTTTTGCATATTTAGGGTTAAGATGACACAAGTATCATGCCAACTGACACTTTGAGGCCTTGGGCTTGTTCAGAATTCGAGAGGTTGGAAATATATTAGCATTAACGGATCCTCTGCTCCTCATATTGCTGCTTATTGTGCTTCTCAAGTGACAAGTGGCTCTTACTAGCTTTTCATCCAGCAATCACTGCCTTGTTACTTGGTTGCGCAGATTGCAGTTAAGGAGAAGGGTTTTGTTTTTGCCATCATTGCTCAAAGGGAGTTTGTGGATGATAGGTCAAATGGGCTTATATGTTGGTCTGTATGAAATTGGCGGTGACAAATTCTCAAAATGAAGAATTACATAGATGAAAAGCTATTAAATATTAAAATGCAAGTCAAGATTTCACATTTCATGATATGGCATAGCATTTCATGAATTTTCTGTTCAAGAACAACTGAATGTAGCTACATGGACAAACTGGTTGCGGTCTTGGAAGTAATCATATTTATGAATTAGAATGGATAGTGTGATACTTCGTTGAAAAGAGACACTGTTCAATTCTCCCAGTAAGAAATCCATATTGCCTGTGACTATGATTAAAATGCATGTTATGATTTCATATTTCATGATACCGCAAAGCATTTCATTAAATTTTCTGTTTAAGGGAACTAAACAAAGCTACATTAAGAAACTGGTTGTGGTCTTTGAAGTATTAATACTTATGAATTAGAATGGAGAGTGTGATATTTTGTTAAAAAGAGAGACAGCTCAATTCTCCCAGATAGCAATCCATATTGTCTGTGACTATGGCAGTCTATCAGAGATTATTTGCACTTCACTCCAACAGTCTATCAGAAGTAAAGTTGTCATTGCAATAAATTGGTATTTTAGAAAAATTAGTTTGAGAAGGATTCCATAAAGTTCAGGATTTTTAGTTTTTCCTCAGTTGCCAACTTTCCAGGAAGGAAGAAGCCACTCTCGCTGAGAAGCAATTTCTCTTAGAATGTAACTCCTCACAAATCAAGACATCAAATCATCTATATTAGGTAGAGAGTTCTTTTTTTTTTTAACATAATTTTCTTTTCCTTTTTTTTTTGGGAGGGGGATTGGGGAGGCTCTTCTAGATACTTAAGTAAGCAAACAGCTAGAAAAGACAAACAAAAAAGGTGATTCATACCTTGTTTGAAAGTTGTAATATACACATTTCCAAAGCAGACTGAAGTTCGATATGTAACTTATATTCATCACTTCCAACATCGGAAGCTTCAGCTAAATTTTGCAAGCACTTCCTTAACTGTTTAATGAGGTCAGATATTGCACCAACAATTGCAACTGAGGCCTGCTGCTCAACATTTTCTGCAAGTTGTGAGGTGATCTTAACAATATCAATCTGCAGAATAGGTTGCTTTGCAATATTCCTATGATCCAAGTGCTTGATCAACATGGACAGCAAAAGATGGGAGTTATCTCCTGGTGTTCAAAGAGTGATCATTTAATACAGAGAAATTTAGAGAAAACTTCAGTTTAAGAAAAAGTAAAGCACTGAATGTTCCAAGTCAACCTGATTCCGCCAAAAGGGATTGCAGATACATTAAAACGGAACGAGCAGCTCCTTTTTCCGGAGACCACTGATTTTCAGTATCAAAATTATGAAAAAGTGGTTCAAGAACACGCCTCACAGTTGTAGCTTCCTTTGCCAATTTCGCCATATTACATAAGCAAACCTTCGACCAATAAGCAGGATCCTTAGCAGCATCCCTGTAGACACAGTAAAAAGATAAAGGCTGCCCCGGAATCATGAAAGATGCTTACGAAACAGGGGGAGGGGAGATGAGTGAGATAAGACTTACAACATGAAGTCCATCTCAGTTCCAGTAAGTTTCTCTACGTTAGCATGGTTGAGTTTTGTTTGGAGATGCATGTAATTCTCCAATGTCACAGACATAATCTATGAGGGAATCCACCCACCCAAACAAGAAACAAAAGGGAACTCTAGATCAGTGAAAATTACCTGTTGCTCCAAAGACTCAATTATGTTAAAAAATTTTGGAAAAGAATATGTGACAAACTAACACTTGAATCCTTAATACATCCTTTGGTGCATGTCACTTTCTTGTTTTAAGGTGACCGATCAAAGTAAAAGCATAAAAATAATACTCACTTTGTCAAAATCCATGGAAAGATGTGAGTACTCGCCCATGAATTGCACCTAGTCACAGAAAATAATGATGAAAGAACAAAAGGCATCAGGAGAGGGAATACAAAGTAGCCTTATAAAGCATTTGATTAACAGATACTGTATAATGAATAAGGTAACTACTATTCTCTAACCAGAAAGAAATATACATAAGAAAATAAATAATTGAAAAAATTGTGTTCATCCCAAAGATGCAATTTTCTAATATTAAAACTGCATATTGTGTCAATGCTGGCTAGTCACATTTCTCAATAAAAGTATTGTATGATTTATTAGTTAAATGAAGGAGCCCAAAGTATAATCTATTTATGAAATACATATACATTTATAGTATGCATGTATATTAACGAATTAAAAGAAGTTGCAGATCCTAATCAAGAGGTTGAATATTTAGGAAGTTTCAACTCAACATGGTCTAATATCAAAAATTACTAAACCTGCTAAGGAAGACCATATCTTGAAGAACTATCCCCTCACTCTTTAGTTATATTCTCGTCTACAGAGAGTTTCATTCCAAAAAATCAAGATATGTAGTTTCCAGTGTGTAACTAACCAACAAAGGAAAGACTTTATACATGTAAAATTCAGAGAGTGAATAAGTAACTTCTAGGATAAGTAAAAATCGAAGAAGAGAAAGAAAAGCACCATATAAGATAGAGCTTGAAGTCCAGCTGAACGTAGACGCAAGACTCTATCATCTTCTCCGACTTCTTGAGCCAATTGACACAGTTTAGGGATGAGACCCTCTAAACTGAACATGTATGTACTATCTGTCTATTTTTAATTCAAAAGGTCAGCACCAACAAAGTGGTGGCATCCAAACATAGCATGCGTAGTATGCATTCCCCACAAAATCGAAGGCAAGAATCAAGAAATAATACAGTCAACAAATATGTCACCCTGCTTCAACAAACCCTCCCAAGGAAAGGCCAAAGTTGTCTATTGAGGTATCAGGCCTTCTAGTCAACATGAAAATGAACCACCAAGTAGTTTTTTTTGTTTTTTTATTAGAGTCAAAATGAAGTGAGAAAGGTTTTATGAAATACCTGGCAATTTATAAAGTCTACTAGTGCTTGGCAACCTAAGGTCCTCATTTCATCAGCTCGAGTTTGTTCTAAAAGAGTTCGAATGATCCCTAAAAAACTATTAGCAAATAGTGGCCTGCAAGATTAAAAATCATCATGTGAATATCATCACATATTTAAAATAAAAGAAAAAAATAGCAATCCATCAATACAATCAAATAAACAAGATACTTAAGTCAAGGGAAATGAATATCGTCTTATCCTACTAATTAAGGTCGATTGCATGAATCTGATAGAGCTGGTGATTGACACTCCAGGAAGGGAAGTGATTTAAAGAAGGCTAAGCTATTAGTCCCAAGGTTTTTATCTGTAGGATTAAAAGGGTAAAGGACAAGTTAGGTTCAAGTTAGGTTAGGCTTAGCCAAAGATATAGGAAGTGTTGGCAGGGGCAATGACCACTTTTTGGCTCCTTAAATCTGTTCTTTTGTGTAGAGAGAAGGGTGTGACGTACTTTGTATCTTGAATGTGGTAAGGAGAGGACTGGCCTCTCAAAAGCCAGTGAGTGTACCTGTGTTGAGTGTAGCTGTGATTTATCTTTATTATTATGATTTCTGTATTACAACCAGGGAATAGGGCTTTATTTTGAATCAGGGAGGTCTTTTGTAACTCTGATTCAGTTCTTCATCTTATTAATATTAAAACCTCAGGATTTCCGTTACATTTTGCCTCTGCTGTGTTATTTCCTCTGTTTTTAGCTCACTGAATCAGTAAGGTTGTATCAGAATCGCACAACATCTTTATATTCTATCAACAACCAACTTTTCAAATATGTTCTTCACCAAAAGGTCTAAACACAGGCAGAGGAATTCAAAATTTATGCAAGACCTACTTTGAAGTGTTTCAAAATTTTCTGAGAACTCTACTAACATAACCCACTGGAATTTAGAAATGAACAGAATGTGTCAGAACAACAAAGATAAGTCACCATATACCCAGGTTTTCCAAACCTGTTTGGAAGATGTATTTAAATAGCTATTTGACCTCTAAGCTGTTTTGCAGCAAGACTAGTTTTTTTTCATCTCATCTTAAAGGGAATATGCGTTGGGCTGAAAATTGGATTGCTTAACAACTTCACTAGAATAGTCATATCCAAGGCAACAATTCGTTTATATAAAGTAGCTAATTTCAAATAAAAAAACCCACCGCTGATTACAAGGGCCTGTGTATGCACACTAAAAAAAAAAACAAGAATTTGAATGCAAAGGCGATCCGCTAGAAAATTCATGTAATAGATGCAAATATGGAAGTGTCCTACATTTTGATACATGAGCAAGAAAAAAAAAAACGTAAATTAGACAATTTTAAATTTCAAAAACATCATGCAATTTTATGTAATGTTCCAGCAAACTTACATGAGATAAAATAAAAATGCGACACAAGGACTATGCAATTAAATTATACACCAACAAACTTACATCTGCTCCTTGCATGACGATATAAATTTCCTGTATATGCACAAGACAACTTTCACCGAACCAAAATTTTCACAACGCAAATCCTTGTAACATCTTTGTTCCAGGTTATCAGTGATCTGCATAGATAAAACGTTAAATATCTTAAATGGAAGTTAACAGGATTTCCTCCTCCAGCAAATACTTAACTCATTGTTAATTAAACTAAGTTATGCAGAAGAAATGGTTTCATCCTTTCAGAAAATTAATTAATTCTATAAGATTCATAGAAAAATGTCTAAATTTACTCCACCATGTCATTATTTGTCTTTGATTATGTGAGGCAACTTTGAAAAGAAAAGCTAGAAAGTACAAATTGAAAACAGAAATTAAAGATGTGTGCAAAGAGATTTAAACGATGTAGAAAACACACTTTTTCAGGTACTAAGCTGCATACTCATTATCAAAATGATCAAAAGAGCTGACTGCTAGGACTAAATTGTAAAACTAGATCTACAGAAAAATATCTTCTTAGAAAAATACTACCTTTGGAATTCTCAGCGGATTTTTGGAGGCATATTCACATAGCTTTCCGATTTTCCTATCATTAGGCTCAGCATCCTGCCACATCCAGTAACCATCACTCACGTGAGATTTTTGTTATCTTGGAAAGGCTAAAATCTGAAAGGGGATCCAAAGCGTTCAAAATATTATGTTTTGTAACCTTATCTAAGAACCTAGACATCTTCCAAGTGCAATACACATACAACAACAACATCAACAAGCATTATTACTAGGTGGGGTTGGCTACACAGATTGCGCGATACCATTTTGCTCTATCAATAACCAAGCCTTTGATATATAATAATTTAAAAGTTTCTAGAAGGTTATACTTATATTTTTAACATTTAAACTCTATTAAAATGTGTAGAAAAATATTGGGGGAAAAAGAGTTGTACACAGCCCAATATGATGTATAGATAAAGATTGAAAGAATAACTCAAGAGAAGTCGCATTATTTATGGTTTATGAATAGGGTAGCTCCTATAATTATTTCTATGTCCCTTGGAAAGGCCTCATGCTTGTGCACGGGGCCTGAGATGAGTTGCACTGTTGAACAATACGACTCCCTATACTTTTTACTCTTGTGTTGATCTACATATTGATATTCATAAGATTTTTCATAACGCACATTCTAGTTCCCCTGCTCCTAGAAGACTGAAAAATTTTTAATGCATAACATAATAGTCCATAAGGCGGTGAAAACAGCAGCATAGAACCTCAAAACGGCGTTACTTCATCTGGGCTGGCAAGAAACCGATAAAACATGTGCGCACAGATTGGTAAAATAAATGCAACTAAAAATTACTCATTACCCATTGATGCTAGAGAAGCATCGTTTTAACTAAATCATCAATCTTCAGATGATAGAAAAATTATTGCTCTTAAAGTGAAATAGCATATCATGAGCAGAAAATTTCACCTGATTACGCGGGAAGATATCAGCAAGCAACTTCTTGTAGCGCTTCACCGGCTGTCTTGAACTTGCCCTCAAAGAAGGACAAATGCAACAGAGGTTACCACAGACGGGTACAACCCGCCTGGACATAACCCCCATTTTCCCGTGAAACTACAAACCCTCCGCTGAAATTCAATAATAATTTAGTTAAATAAATCACTGTTGAACAATACGACTCCCTATACTTTTTACTCTTGTGTTGATCTACATATTGATATTCATAAGATTTTTCATAACGCACATTCTAGTTCCCCTGCTCCTAGAAGACTGAAAAATTTTAATGCATAAATAATAGTCCATAAGGCGGGTGAAAACAGCAGCATAGAACCTCAAAACGGCGTTACTTCATCTGGGCTGGCAAGAAACCGATAAAACATGTGCGCACAGATTGGTAAAATAAATGCAACTAAAAATTACTCATTACCCATTGATGCTAGAGAAGCATCGTTTTAACTAAATCATCAATCTTCAGATGATAGAAAAATTATTGCTCTTAAAGTGAAATAGCATATCATGAGCAGAAAATTTCACCTGATTACGCGGGAAGATATCAGCAAGCAACTTCTTGTAGCGCTTCACCGGCTGTCTTGAACTTGCCCTCAAAGAAGGACAAATGCAACAGAGGTTACCACAGACGGGTACAACCCGCCTGGACATAACCCCCATTTTCCCGTGAAACTACAAACCCTCCGCTGAAATTCAATAATAATTTAGTTAAATAAATCAATAACTTGAAAATTAACCTTCCATTAATGAAAAGTTGAATTTACATTCCCTCCTCAGGGTTTGGCCATCGTGGTGTTTCCAGAAATCAATTATGAGTAAGATTAAAACCCAATCAAATTCAGGTATAGCTGAGCTGCACACAGCCCGGGTATTTCCACAATTTTACGGGTAAATAAATTCCACGAAGAAAAAATGCACGGTGAAGATTTTGGATAGAAACTGAATTTGACTGGGCCTGTTCAGGAAAAAAATATTCTCCACCCCAATAAAAGCGCAGAAGCCATACTGGTTCGCAAACTGAAGCGTCTCAGATCGCGATAGGAACTGAAAGCCAAAACTGGAGAAAATAACGTAATCAAAGATCAAATCAATACGAAATAACTGGCGAGGAAACAAGAAAGGAGGACCTCCAAATAATGCCAACGTGTCAAATACTTGGAATTTCGGCCCGGGCAATTGTTTAGTGCAGAAAGCGTGTGTGGGAAAAAAGAGCTTTAAATTGGAGGGAGTAATATTTTTTCCCCCTGGAGTGCCACCCAACCCATAAGAAGAAGGAAATTGCAATGTGCAAAGTGCGATTGCTAACTAGAAGTAAAATGTTGGGGGGACGGAAAAATCATGCTATCGGCTAACGTCACGGACGCCGGATGATGGGCTGAGGTGGTGGGGTCACGTTAGACGGCATCTAGTTAGATGGAATCAGGGAACGGGAGGGGTCGGGCTGTCATGGAAAATGTGGCCCACCCTTGAATAAATCATAAAATAGACCAGCACCAACGGCCCCGTAACTTTCGGGTGGGAAATTTTTTGGTTGGATTGGATTATGAGAAAACTCCTCTCCCTCTTCTTTTTGACTTTTACAGTACCCACGCCATATCTTTTTCTCTTCTCTTTCTGTCCGCATCTTATCATACCATGCGCATTATGCCTGCCGTTCGTAATTTCATCGGTTTTGTCAGACGCTTTTTCACGACCACATAAGCTGAAGAACACAAACAACGTCCCTTGGTAGTGTCCAATGTCATCTGTAGGCCGCAGCTTCCAAATTCCTTTCCTCATAGTTAGAGGCATATTCTCGAATTCTTCGCTGGGGAGGCCCCGCCCATTTGTATTCTGACTCATAATAAGCCCAAAGCAAGTCCTCTTCGAATCCTTAGCAAAACACAACCACGTGTTGCCTTCTGTATTTTCTGTACCAAAATCAATCAATTAAGCCTGGATTCTCTTCCTTTTGCCCTCTCTTTGCCTTTTTACTTTACTTTCAGCCAATTACTTTTGGTCTTCTCCTTCTGCTGAGAAAGGATTCTCGACTTTAATTGCGGCGTAATGACTCTTAATTACAAGATACCCTGTCCTAGTCCGTACTTCTTGCCACTAGAGTTGCGACATTGCGGAGGCCAAAAAGTTTCGAAATTTGGTTGCGCTAGCGAGAGGCTTTATGCTTTGGCATGCAGTGAATCTGATGGTCTCTTCTGGTAAAGATTGTAGTTCTGAAACACGTTCGATAGTTCTTTTATAAGCTTATCTTTACTATGAAGTGATGATGAGCTTTAGCGCGTCAAATATGCAGCACTATAGCCAGGCACAAACAAGTTATGTACACATTTGAGTTGCTGGCGTGTGGTGTCATATACAACATTGCTTTCAAAGTTACAATAACAACAATGGATCTATGTCTCAGAAAAGTCATCCTCCTATACGTGTAAGCTTCTTCACTAGGAAAAGAGTAAGGATAAAGGAATAAAGAATTTGAGGAGCCGTAAGCATGCGTGTGTGGGTGTGACTATTGACCTGCAAAAGCCAAATGACACAACCAAATATCATGGTGCTTGTGGAGGTGACTCAACATCTTCTCAAATCTTGTATTAAAACTAAATTCTCTTCAATTCAACTAACAATACTCAAATCTAACTCAATAATATTAAACATAACATTAGATATGAAAGAAAACTTTAGACTTTCTATCTGGCTAGTTCTCGCTCGAAACTGCCACGGAGATAACAAATGCCATCAAAAGGGCGCATGCTTTTGTCAAACTCAACATTTTTTTTGTTTGCTTAAGATTGAGGGAGATATCACAATGGAGGTATTTCAGGGTTTTGTGATGGAAGGTAAGCAAGTGTTGGTCGCTTCTTTAGTTTTATAATGCCAAGGACTTTGTGCCTATCTTTTCGTACTCCAATTTTCAAGTAAACGTTTATTTTATTCAAATAAAAGGCAAATCTGCAACGCTCGTTCAAAGCACGATGGTCAAGTCCCGGAGGTTAGCTTTGATCAATGGGTCCTAGATACACAATAATAAAATTGGACACGTGCAATGCTTATAATAACTCTTATCATCATATTATCATTCTACTATAGTTCGTTTTTTATTTATAGATACAAAAAAGAAATCATTTATAAATTACATTTTTTCATTAATTTATCGGCATTGTTTTCTTGTGTTTATGGTTGGAAATATTGAATTAAAAAATCGCCCTTCACCTTATGATCGAAAAACTTGAATCGGTAAAAGTTGGCGGGGGGTAATACGAGTATAATTAGTAAGTACCTACGTTGATGAATGGTCTCGTTTGAAATAGAAGGACCCAGACGCAAGCAATTTTGCTCATTTTCCTAATTATTCAACGTTCGCTCACAAGTTCTCAGGACGAAGGAGAAGAAGAATGAGAATCCGAATCACCGAGGGAATATACTCGATCCCTCCCACTCCCACCAGTCAGTATTTTATTTTCATTTCCATCAAAAAATCCTCAGAGGCTCCACATAAGAGTAGAGGCGGACAGGGACAGCCCAGGGCCTTGAACTGGAGAAATCCGATGACACGAATATTAGATGGGCATGCAAATATTCTGATTCTGACACAGATAACCTGGAGGCGAAGTAACCATAGAGAGATCAAAGTTGTCAAATGCAATGCAAGCTGCCGAATCGACAACGAAGGAAACCAAGCTTCACCCTGCCTGGCGTTTTATCAGAATAAGCTAGGCTGCCAGGTATTAAATCTATGGATTGGAAACACATCATCATAAGCAACTATACAACAACAAGAAGAATGAGATAGATACAGAGCTGTGGCGGGCGAAAAAGTTTAAGTACCAGATAAAGCTCTACACGTGACGGATTTTATGATTGGAAAAAGAGAGGACGTTATCATCCAGATAAACCAAGAAATATAGAGACAGCAACGCCAAGGGAGTAGGGCCCAATAGCGGTGCCGACGAATCGATTACCGGAGCGAGTGAGAGCGCCGATTCCAGCGATGCCAGCGACTACAACGGGAACACGGAATAGAAGGGCTTTGGCCGCACGAGACAGGATGGCATCAGAGTAGAGGTGGACGGCCCAGGCCTTGAATTGGAGAGGTCCGAGTACGGCGTCGCGGTAGTGGTCGGGACTGATAAGTCGGAGGGCGGAATCGACCTGGGAGCGAGTGGGTGGAGTGGAAAGTGGAAAGCACTTGAGGACGAGGGGATGGGGGTGGGCGTCGCAGAGAAGAAAGTGGAGGTAATCGGCCAGAAGTCATCATACTGACAAACACATTTTTTTCATACTGGCTTGTTCCAGCTGCTGCAAGTAAACATCTTTCAAAGAATTAATGACATAAACATCCTCAGACTCAAACATGCACTTGCCGAGGAGTAATTAGAATCATGAAGACAATTGGCCAGGCTTTAAACATAAAAGTTGGAGTCTGTTCTAATATCTATTGTTGAGATTTTAATGATTAAGACTGACTATGAAGTACAAGGGAAAATATCGGTAGAAGACTTGGAAGCAATTTAATTTCATCAAAAGGATTTCTAACAAATAAAATTGAAATTCTTGTTTTAATAAGTATATGATCAGCCTAATCCTTGACAAATATTTCTTTAAATTCTTAAAAGTTCCTTTAAATTAATATTAAGCTTTAGAAATAAAGCTAGAGATTATAAAAATCTCAACTATTTTATAGTCTCAGTGGTTAACTGATCATCCCTTTGGTAATGTTATTAGCTTTATAGAAGTCAAGAGCTTATGATATGGTATGATTGCTCAAGTCAAGAATATGATCGAATTGGGAACTCGAATTACTATTAAATGCTTTTAGTTATGACACCACTGTACTTTTTAAGATGCCACAACAATGTTTGCATGCTCTTTTCGAAGATATGGCCAAGGAATCATCCGTGGCTAAGGAATCGTCTGCTGCTGTCAACTTCCAAATCTGCAACGACTAACCATGCATGCCCCATCCGTTGTGTCCAAGCCTTACATCCACCATGGCTAAAACAACCCCACAATGTCATCTACTGTGGCCAAAGGGTACATTCGCTACAACCAACGAGCTATAGCAGCACACAATGTACATATTTGAATTTAAACTTTCAATACTCCTAAGTAGTTGCACGAATCCAATATGGGTGATCGAAGCACCCCATACAGATAAATTAGAGGTTTAACAAATGGTCCTAGTCACAACTTAATTCGATACCAAATGAGGATTTTGGAATATTAATACCAAACAAATTTTAATCCAAAGACACCCACTAAATATCTCCCCTCACAATCCGTTCTGTAATACAATCTACGTGCATAACAATTATATATGCTTAAACATGTCATATCATTAATCTATATGTCAAAGATAAAACATCTACTACATCACACATTTGTAGGCTAGGCTTTTTCCAAAAATAAGACCCCCAAAACCAAAATTGCTGAAGTCAACAAAAAGGGCACACATGCAAATGATCTATAGTTACCATAATACAACCATCCTATATTGGCAAAATATAGATCCAATCACACATCTAAATGCTAAAGGCATTACAATTATAACTCTATTGCTTTGCCTTGGAGACTTCCCTTTTGTCCTTCACTTTTGTGTCTCTTGAAAATATATAATTAATGGGCATAGAGGCGGAGCCAAGAATTTTTATTAAGGAGGACTAAGATGACAAAGTATATATGATAATTAAAAAAAAGTTAAATTTATATATATCACCAACATAAGATAAATATTTCAACATATATATTTATATTCAATTTTACACATATAAAACAAATAAATATATATTCATTTTTTAAGTTTTGCTCCTCAATCTTTCATGGCATAAACATCATTAGTTATCATGTCTATAATAAACGTTAACATTTTCATTCTCAATAGAAATTATCATTAAATTAGTGAAAATTTTGTCTTTTCTACCAGCATTAAATGATTTAAATGTATAATTAAAATTTAAAGTTTTGTTAAATGTAATAAGCTCTAGTACTTGCTTATTAAATTTATTATTTAATTCTTTCAATTGATAATTATTGTAAATAAAGATGTTAATACAATAATAATGCTCAATTATCAAAAAATCTTTACATCGATGAAATCAAATTATATCAAAGAAAAAACCATTCATATCATAAATTTTAATAGCTTGATTATAAAAATAATAATTTTTTTATAAAAAAACCTCAAACATAACCTTTTAACTTTTGGATTGGTGATTTTATAATAGATATCAACCACATAACATTCAATATATTTTGAGATTTTTGAAAATTTGCTGATAATAATTCTCATAATTTCTTTCATTAAATATTAAATAAAAGTAAAATAAAATGACGTCAATATTTTAAGAGCATGTGTAACATTTGTTTGTTGAAAATAAAGTAAATCCTATGACAACTGTATTTTTAAGCTACTGAAATAGTTGCATTATACATATTGTAAAAGACAATATAAGAATTGAAATAAGAATTTCATATAGTATCTCAAAACTTCTATAATGTGTTAACTTAGGAGACCGAAAATATATACCCTCTATATTTTATTAAGAAAAAAATAAAAAGTTAGGGGGCCATGGCCCATGCTGATCCCCCTTCTCTCTACCCCTGAATAGGTGAGATTAAACAATCTCAGTAACCAATCTAATCAAAAAACATTAAATTATGGCTGACAATACAAGTAAGCAAATAATATTTTATAAGGCAACCATGCATTGATCATCATTACACATATAACTTAATTATATATTACCAATGCAACCGCCTTATACCACTTCTCATATCATCTGACTGAACTCATAGGTTATTAACTCATATGAGTTTAGTTTATGTAACTGGACAAGCCCTGCTCTCCAATTATAAGAAGTCACCTAACCAAATGGTCCCACACTCACTCTTGGAACTTGAGTTCCTTGGAACATGAATTCCCTTACTTGAATCTCAGGGTGTCATAAATGTCTAACCCACACAGTCCCCTTCAGGAATCGGTGATACTAAGCATTGCAAAGTGCCTAATTTACTCCATATAATTAACCATAAAGCCAAATGCTATCATGGCAATTAAAGATTAACCACCCTAGTCATCTTACCATAATAAAAAAGAATTAAATGCAATTAAGAAAAGATAACCATAGTTAAAAAAGAAAAGACCTAAGTTAAAGGTCTGCCACAGTTAAAAGAAATAAACATATAATTTTAATTTAATGAGAAAACTCAAATTTACCCTATCATGGTAGAATAGGATTTACCATGGCAGAAAGGCTTAAAACTATATATTAGATGTGCAAGCAAAGGTTAAACTGAAAATAGTAAAGTGAAACTTCATGAATTAATTAGAACCCCAAAAAGGACAAGTTCTTAAAACATTTCAAGATCAAATAAAATATAAATTAGATTATAAGAGCACACTGAAGCATGGAAATTTACTTTATGGTTAAAAGCATTTAAAATAATATCTAAAATTCATTTTTCCTAAAATACACTCATCCACCACAGCTAAAGGGCTTACCTTTCGCGACTAACAAGTTTGAGGATATCTGTCATGGACAATGCAAAAACGTGCCACAGTAAGCCTCTCTATGTTGTGAGTCTTGGCAAAGGTGCCATCCCTCATGATACACTACATAGAACTGATAGCATTTTGCTATCAAATGCATAACATCAAAGGCAAACTTTTGACGCTCCTCATGCCTTTATCTTATGTATGATTAGGATGATTTAGGTGTTCACATGACACTTAGACAATAAGCTAGCTAATGACATCAATTTCATTTCAGCATTATATCACATGGGAAAGTTGGACACCCATAACTAAACTCACTCCTTTATCATACTAAAACCCCTTTAAGACATCTAAAACTCAAACTAAGTGACAAAAGCCTAAAACTACCTAGATCAAGTTCCTAGGATATATGACTACCTATACAATGCTTCATAATACAGATATAACACATACATCACATTTTGATTCATTAACCCCGATTTTAACAGAAGCCATAAGGAAGGCAAATATATCATAAACTCATTAATCACAGATTCATAAGCCTTAGATGCCTTTCCCTTTTCTTTACCAAAGCTAGTGCCTGTGAAATGTTAAATAAGAGTGAATAAAACTACTCAATAACCAAGAAAAACTCTAAATTACACACACGTAAGTCAAATCAATAAAGGCATGTAAGGCGAGCATTTATAAAAAAAACTACAACAAAGATAGAAGGCACCATATCATAACATCACAATATCACATCCTATGACATTTTTTGAATGCATGAACAACAGCTCCTTATCTCCTCTATATATTGCTAACCAAATTTGTGAGTTGACAATTTAACAAGACTAAGTTTGTGTAAATGGATTAGCCCAAGCTCACTAATCATGAGGAGACACTTGGCCAAAGATGCCTCCCTCATTCTCGAACTACTGATTCCTTCAATTATTGAATCCATTGGGATATCTCAATGCCTTACCTCACACTTAGTCTATGGTAATATTAAAGGCAAAAGGTCTAAGCAACCTACTCTTACATCCATTCTTAGCTGAGATTCAAGAAGATATGACTCAAGAAATCAAACTCTAAGGCCACCCATGGCGTTGGTTATGTAATCCCACCCAAAACATGATTATGCCATTATACACGATTTAACACCATGCATTGTTATAACTCATAACATAATGCAATTAAGCAAGTTTGCATATAACCGCATAGTTAACTATAATAAGCATGCATATAACTCTCCCTATTTCAAATAAAATCTTTCACAGGATATAACATTTTCCAACATAACAAGCTTTAATAGAAAAATCATGAAAACCCCACTTGCATTTATTTTCTGAAACAATAATTAAGCTTATATTCAAATAAATTCACATTAGTCATGTTCAAAAATAACCTAAATCAATCTTACAAGTAATAACATAAATTAAAGATCCCCTGGCTACCTTAAACTTTGAGAATTCAAAGGTAACGTGCTTCCAAAGCTATGATCAAGCTCAAAACCCATGTGACAATGATAATATATAATTATTAACAACCAATATTAGTAAATAGTAACTTAAATTCTCACTACCAATTCCCATACCTATACTTTCATCATTTTAAACTTACAAGCAAAGAGTTTATTAACTCTAATTAACTTCCAATAGCTTAAAACAAATAAACATAACACCCAACAACTCAAATTTCTCCTTAAAGTGGCTAGGGTTCATTGAAAACCCTTACACCAACTTCTAAACATTATAAAATCCATAGAACTAGGTTT